CCCAACTTCCACAACGCCGTTGGCGGCGCGACCTGGCCAGTAAACGTCTCAGGCGCCTTCTCGCCCTGCAGAGCCCACGCAGGCGGCCGGAACCAGCTCTTGTTCTGCGCCGCGAGCTTGAGCATCGCCGCCTGGTTCTTGAAGTTGACGGCGCGGATGTACCAGTACAGGTCGCGGAAGCGCCAGGGCGCGAGACCGAAGCCCGTTACGCAGAAGAGGGCGTTGAGGATCTGACTGGAGATTTCGAGCCACTTCTTGCGGGGTGAGTTGTCGTCGTCGGCGGTCGGGTAGTTCATTGCTGGTGCGGCCTTGAGGAGGAGGAAGAAGAGCATGGCCTGCGAGGGTGAGTCAGTATCGCCGGCTTCATTCTCATACATCATGATGTGAACTTACTCCCCAGGCCTAAGAGTCGCCTCATGTTAGCATGTCTCGTCTTCAAAAGGACGTGCGGCTGAAGTGGGATACGTACGACAATATTCAAGCAGTAGATGGTGATGATGAACCCTGACGGCGTGAGGAAGAACTTCCAAAAAGCCTTCAATCCATTGACAATCGTCGTTTTCCATGGCGCCTTCTCCTCCGCTGCGTGCTTCTGATACAGACTCTGTCGTCGCTGGAACTGTTGACCCTCGCTGGGCAGCAGGCTCTCATCATGCGTCCCCGTCCCCGGCCGTGCTTCGTCCGAAGTCTCATTCAGCACAGCGGGTTCGTCCGTTTCCCTGATATTTTCTGATTTGTCGTTAAACACGTTTCGCCCACCGGCAGACGACTGCCCATTAATAGAAAACGTCGACGCGCGCCGACCCGTGTTGGATCGGATGAGCGCCAGGTCGCCGTGGGGTTCCTGGACGGCGTAGCGCGCCGAGTGGCCCTGCGCCGTGAAGGCGATGTTGTCGCCGCCTGATTCGGGGTCGCGGAGCTCGGTGAGGTTCGGCGCCTGGGCGATTGCTGTGCCGGCGGCCTGCCACATGCCCAATTGCGGGTTCGCGTTCATGATGGAGATGGACGCGCCCCGGACGCGGCCTACGATGCCGCCGCCATTGTCGGCGGACGAGGGCTCGGTCATGGTTGACGGTCTACGGAGATTGTGAGGACGGGCTGATGAAGTGATGGGGCCTCTTCCTGGCGATTGCTACGGTGTCGGATGTCGCGGAACGGCCCTCATAAAAAGGTGAGCGGGAGGCCGGTGAGTGAGTCGGGCGTGAGATTGCGCTTTCAGCACACAGTCTGCGTCTGCTCACGGAGAGGGCAGTCGAGTTGTCGCGACTGTGCAATGCAGACGCCTAACAGATCGCGGGGAGTCAATTTGGCAACGATTGTTTATGTCAGATAAAGAACTTTGGTCCCCTTTTCCCTTTTTTTCCAGGAACACCCATCTCCATGAAGAACCTGCAAAGAGAAAAGTGCCATGCCATCACGTGGGGGCTGAGGGAGAGACAGCGAGCTATCCGCGTATTCCAACCCGACACCCCGACGTGTTGGCCGGCCGGAACCCGCGAATAAGTCGAGTCTAGTCAGGTTCAGTCCTTTGGCAAAAAAAAGTCTAATTTGCTGCCTATTGCCCCTACCATGCTCTGAATGCAGATCCTGGGTTGGCTGAACGGGGTCGGAGAAAGCCAAGACACTGCCGTGGTTAGCTAGCCCGCATATCTCTCGCTTTCCCCGTCCCCCCCGAATCCCCGCTGTTCTTTTCGCATCCTAATCCGGCTTGGCCAGAACTCGCTCTCGCTTGCAATCGAATTGTTAAGGAAGAGAGAATGCACCACCGGCAGCGCCGCTGATGCCCTGAGTCGCGGGGCCATCCTCTGAGGTGATGATCTGATCAGGTGGTTGGGCGAATTTGACGCCGTGCTTCCGGCGCTAGACTTCAACGTCATGAAATAAGACTCGTGATGAGAAGCTTCGGCGACGTCAGTGAGATATCTTTTCATCAATTGAGTTTGTTTACTCTCGGTCTCCGTCACTCTGATAGCCTCGAGCGCATGATACCGGTAGGAGTGAGTTTCGGTCCGCGACCCCGGGTCGACCGCTCCGAGGTTTACTGTTCCCACTCTCTTTTTTTGAGACGGTTTGCTCTCTTGCTAGCCGCCGCCATCTCGATGTAGCGCACCCAGTTACCGTGATCTCGGGGGTCAGCGGAAACACTTTTTGACACTGCTTGTTGACTACGAGAATCCTCTTCGGAACCGACGTTCAACTGCATCAGTTCATGAGGTTTGGGAGAGTGGATGATCACTTGAGGTTAGAGCAGTGAGGACTAGCAGTCCTTCACGCGGTAAAACAACCAAAGTCTACATCCTGATGTTCAACGAGGCACCCTGGTCGCTCTTTTACCGCCTCGTTACCCCGATTTATCAAACACACAGGCGACAATGGACATGTGCATGTTTAACCAGCCAAGAAAAGCAAACTCTTGAGTGAATCTTTACCGGAAAGTCTGACCGCGTCGTGATGAAATGTCAAATACACCGCCATGATGACCAACCACCCATGGTCCATCCCAGTGATTCTGGCCACGGAACAATCGGTACACTCTGAAGTTGCATCAGCATCTTCCAGCTGTCGACTCACCTTATTCCCAGTGCTTTTCTTTGTCCTGCTGAATTCGATGCGTCGTCTAGGTATCAGACACATGTTCCTCCAACACATAACGGCGAATCACTCAATGGCTGTGATGAACAACACCCACTATCCACCTTTTGCGAAGTTCCGACACCATTGGCTCCATCATCAGATTGCCCAAAGTTCTGCTCCGTATTAAGCAACAGACCATGCTTACGTTGTTCTTGTTGTTCGGGTAGCATGGGATCATCTACTGCGTCTTACCGACGACCAAACACCCGCAGACGCCAAATCACCCGTCTTTGAACTTCGCGATTCGCCTTTGGGACGCAAATATTGTGATGCGAGTGCTAACATAATCAGAACGACCTATAAAGAGTATCAAACTTGTCATTATGAGGAAAATATCAGATTTCCCCCCCTCACACAGTCCCATATCGGAAGTACTTGGATTCTCAATCAACATCCGGCATTTCTTCAATAAACATTGATACCGAAGTAATGGAACCGTTCCTCCGTTCTAGATAAACCCAGATTTCAGAAGAAATGAGCAAATCGCCGACAAGTCTCATCCACAACACATAATACCTCCAATATGGGGACCTACTATCACAACTCAGTCATCTTCAGATAGAAAATCGGAAAGATGCACGCGGTGACGGGCACCCGGCCGTCTCGTAGTACGACAAGAGTTTCCGACGTGCCGACGACTATGGAAAAATATCTCCTGGAACTCCCCAAACCCAGTATCTATGCTTTGAGTAGTAAGCCGACCCAAGCTCACAGCAGCGAGAAGACCACAAATGAGGCTCAAGACGAAGTGACGGCGACCGAATGAACCGAACGCAAGGAACAGACACTGGCTGTTCAGAGTGCGGCACGTCTTGCCCGCTCTAACCGCAAGACTGTCGTTCTCGGTTTGGGGGGTCTGAGCCTATGTAGACTATCTTGGAGAGGAGAGTGTTGTTTGACACTGCTTTGTAGCAGGAAGCAAAAGGTTTCTGAGTACCTGTAGGCTGTTTGGCTTACTACCCATGAGCGCATCACCTTCAAGACGGTGTATTAACCAACGTTGTACCCGTTCAGTAAGTGTTACTAGAGGGCAAACTTGTAGCTTGTAGCTTGAAAGATCCCGACTAGTCTAGGTAGAATTTGCGGATCGGAGGAAGAAGGCTTGCTTCCCAACACCACGCATGTGAGGTTCGAGTCACGTAAGGTAGGCCTTGTATGCTCATTGCATAATTGACGCGCATTGGAAACGTCTAACGGGTTGTGCTCCCCCAGGCCGTCCAAAGCACCCCCCTTCCCGTGATCCGACCCCTTCATCAAGGAGCCGCCTTCTCTCAAGCTTCGGATGATTCAAGCTTTGTCTGGCTGACGATCGTCTCGGATTCACGGCTATGTCCGAAGATCCATCCCGCTTACAAGAGTCACACTCTTCCCGGTACAGTGTTACCGCAAAGCTTATTGTAGGTACAGATAATTTTTGGTTGGGAACACTACACATTTGAGTTTCATTCGTTTTGGGAGTCTGGGTGCATTTGAAATAGTTCTTCGTCGTCCAAACTAAGACTGGAAGTTTCCGACAACCACCAACTTCGCACTCGCGTTCTACATCATGTGGTCCTCGTGAAGCCTCAACGAAATTTTTGAAGTTCGTGCGGTCATCATAACCCAGACTTTGTAAAGGTGTATTAGGATGCAGCCTTCTCCGCAACCGAGTCTTCATGCAACGAGTCTTTTATCAGATACGGGTCATCCATTCTGTTTCCCGACGTCCTCGAGTTGCAAATCCGCAGGTTTAAGAAAACAGGGCCAAGACCTGACGAAGGCTGTGTAAAGTCTACGAGAGCCGGAGAGTTCTTCATCAAGTCATGATCCCTCAAACATCAGCACACTTTGGGCATACTCCAAGTACAGTTGAGCTGGAGCCAACATTTCGGGCCCTATGTTCTTCGAATCGACAGAGCAACCGATTCTGCGATGGGGTCGTAAGACGAGGGGCAGAGACCCGATGAATCCGGAGTTTTCAAGTGACCGGAGGCGGGATGCTGGTGAAAAGACCGTCGCCTCGGAAACCTGAAACTGACTAACGATGTGACCCTCGACCACAGAGAACATGCTGCGACATCAGGTGGACCCGTACCCAGACAAGTTTCGACCGTGTTGACGCCCGCATCTTTAGCTTTAGGCTATGTTTCGATAATTGACTCGAACTGCTCGCTAGTCAAGTGCCGAATGGATCAGGCGGCTATGTAGTTCATACGGCCGGCCAGTTGCAATACCAACGACGTCTCAAGGTCTTGTTACTACTTCCTCCCCTAATACCCTACGCAACGCCTTCATCTATCTGCAAGTCTTTGACCTGTTCCTTTCCTTTTTTGCTGTTTATTTTTGCCTAATAGTCTAGTGCCTGGGGCACGAACTCGATTTTCAAGATGCTTGTCCTTCTTGCGGCGTCTACAGTCCTTTCCTTCATCGGGCCGTTTGCCATCGCTTCGAGAGTTGGCTCAATACAAGTAGAGTATAGTAGAGATCCACCATCAGGTTGGACACTCTCTCGTCCCGCAGATCCAAATCATCGATTCAGCATATCCATCGCAGCCGATAGAAGCGGGCATGTGGAGCGGGCCCTCTACAGTGTCTCGACGCCGGGACATGAGCTTTACGGCAGGCACCTCTCTAGAGAGGAGGCACAAGCACTTCTCAACCCCGATACAGAGTCACGAGATATTATTACAAACTGGCTTCAGGAACACGGGAACGCAACAGGGGCCGATATTGCGAGCGACAATCATTGGATCAAAGTGCAGACGACGGTGAAGAAGGCGAATAGTCTGCTCGATGCAGACTTTAGATGGTTTCGAAACATTGACAGCGGCAAGGAGGTGCTGCGGACGTTGCAGTACTCACTACCCTTGGGGTTGAAGAACAGGATCTCGTTGATCACCCCGTCCACAAGATTCTGCTCTCACCCAATGATGCATCAAGAACAGGCAGTGGTTACACCTATTGATGACGGCGCCCCCAGCGATGAGCTTCGGAAGGTGAAGAGATCATTAGCTGGCGTGAACCCGAAACTTCTTTACACGGCACAGGTAGATAGGATTACGCCGCCCGCATCGCAAGCGCAAGTCGATCCTACGTGTAATAGGACGATTACGCCGAACTGCATACGAGCCCTGTACAATGTTCCTGCCAAAATGAACGTCAGTCCGGCCCGCGGTCTTGGGATTTACGCCTCGCAGAACCAGGTCGCCAAATTTGACGACTTTGCCCTGTTTGCCAAGAACGTCGATCAACCGTCAACGGGAGTAAAGTTTTCTTTCCTTAGTATCAACAATGGCACAACCGATCAGGCTCAGAACAAGTTCTCAAACGCGGAGCTCAACTTCGACGTTCAATATACGGCTTCATTATCCAATCCGGTACCCAATATTGTCACCGCCGTGGCGGGAGACGGACCAATCAAGCTCGAACTAGGCGGACAGCCTGGGGACACGACGGAACCTTGGTTGATCTGGTTAGACGCGATGCTCAAGCTACCCGACGACAAGCTTCCTCACACGATCACCACTAGTTTCGGTGAGAACGAGCAGTCCCTTCCGGACGGCTATGTTCAGCAGATTTGTGATCAGTTCGGCGCACTCGGGGCCAGGGGCGTTACGATGTTCGCCGCGTCGGGAGACTCTGGACCGGGCAACACCTGTGTCACAAATGACGGTACCAACAGCACGCGGTTCAATGCCGTCTTTCCCGCATCGTGCCCCTTTGTCACTGGAGTCGGCGGGGTAAGGGGTATCGCGCCTGAGCGGGCCAGCGACTTCTCGAGCGGTGGATTCTCGGACAAGTTCGCCAGACCGGCATATCAAGAGCAAGTTGTGCCGGCGTACCTGAAGAACACAATTGGAAACCAGTTCAACGGCCTTTTCAACGCATCAGGCCGAGGCTTCCCAGACGTGAGTGCCCAGAGCTTCAACCTCACATTCGTGACGGGCGGCCAACTAGGTGGCTTCCAAGGTACTAGCGCTGCCGCTCCAATCTGGGCAGGCATGGTGGGCATGGTCAACGCCGCTCTCATCCAGGCGGGCAAGCCACCAATGGGATTCATCAATCCATGGCTATATGGCGCTGGGTTGCAAGCCATCAACGACGTGTCTGCTGGGCAGTCCGTAGGCTGCACTGGCACAACAGGTTTTGGTACGCAAAAGTTCCCGCCTGAGTTCGGAGCAAAGCTCGTGCCGAACGCGAGTTGGCCCTCGGTGGCTGGCTGGGACGCTGTCACTGGCTTGGGGAGCCCGGATATTGGCAAGATGTTGGCGCTGAGGATGGCAATGTGATGGGAATTATGCAATTTTAGACTACAAACAATTTGAGGTACAAATTTGAACCCAATCTTAACATACAAATTTTGCGCCCAGACCAGTCTCTACTGCAGAACAAAGCTCCATTCACAACTTTGCGTTGTTGACTGCAGTAATTGCGAATGGATTCGCAGTAAACGTTCCGTTGGGATCAGCGAGTGCTCTGGCTTTTCCAAGTCGCCTGTACTTTTCCTCATCTTCGTAGTAGCACTTCCAGATCTTCTCATCACCCAAGTTCCAATCACCATATGATCCCCAGAGAAGACGTCTGTCCTTCTTGCTGAACGGGCTGTCAGGTCCGTTCATAATCTGATCGTTCTTGGCTTGCCATGATTGAGCCAGCTTTCTTGAATCTTCATCGGGCTCGTGGAAGCAGTCCAAAGTCTGGACAACAGACGAGTCTCTCCAGCTGTAAGATGTGCCGTTGTCTCTGTTGACGAAGAAGCGCGAGTTCTTGCCTCCGAAGCACTGGATTTGAACCGACAGCTTACATCGCATGAAGCGCTCGTAATCCTTCTCACCCTCATGTCCCTTGAGGTACTGTTCAGGGTTGTAGATGAGGTCAATGCGGTCAACCACGGCATCAACCCACTTGTCCTTAGTAAGGCTTGTGGAGTTGGTCGAGTATGTCCGCTTGACGTAGGGAAGGTCAAACTCTCGCGCTCTGGGGAAGATCCACTGCCCAGTCATATCCGACATCTCCATGTCGAACTCTCCAAACTGAAGCGAGAAGTCTTCCAACAGGCTCTTGAGCTCTCGGAACTTGCCGAACCAGGCATCGACATTGGCGTCGTACTTGTCCTCTTTGCTGGTTGGGCACCACTGCGCATATAGGATGATCGAGGCTGGAAATCTGCCGTTGAGCAACTCCAGGAAGTCGTCTTCGAGCGCATTCTTGATGCGGTCCTGGATGCGCTGCCAGACGTTGGCATCCTTGAGCTCCTTGAACAGGGTCGACATGGGGAAGTCTGTGCTGATGACACTGACACAGAGGTCAAAGCCGCGGGGGAATGTAGGGTCGTCAGCCATCTCGGCAATGGCATTGAGAAGCGTGGTAAGAACTTCTTTGGAGTAGAGCCAGAGTGCCTTGATGCCGTGAGGTCCCTTGAAGCCGTTGGGTCCAGCGACGGTACCAAGATAGCTGCTAGACTTGTACACCTCAACGATGTAGTGAGTGATGACGCCGAAGTTTCCTGGGCTGCCACCAAGAATGGCATAGAACATCTCGGGGTTGTTCTCCTTGGTGATGTCGCGGATGACACCGTCGTGGCACACCATGCGGATGGTTCTGATGCTGTCTCCAAAGAGGCCGAAACTTCGGCCCAACTGCCCGTAACCGCCAGTCTGGCCGTGACCTCCCACACCGACGTACGCACACTGACCAGTGGGAACAAAAAGCTTCGTCTGCTTGAGGTACTTATTGAGGTCCATCATAGTGATGCTGACGCCAATATAAACAAGTGTGCGGTCGTCTGCAATGGGCTGCTTGGGCTTCAAGATCATCAGATCCTTGTATGTGTTACCCAAGTCAATCTGGATGTTCTTGCCGCTTGTGGACGAGGCTCCGCTGTACTGGTGGCCTCCGCTCTTGACGGCAACGGCGACCTTGTTCTCCCTGGCCCAGTTGACCGCTCTGATGACATCTTGGTCGTTCTGAGGTCGCACTATGAGATCGGGGTTCATGTCGTGGTCTTTCTGATATGTTGAGGTTGCATATTGCTGGTTGAAGAAAGCGTATTCCTGCATCCCAGACTCGTCTCCCACCCTAGAGTACTGCATACCCTCGAAATCTTCAATGCGAACCATGATTGAGATTTTGTATGAGGAAACAAAGTAAGAATTCGAGAAGTGTCTCTTAGAAAAAGCAGAGTTGCAAAGGATCCAGCAGGAACAAGGCAGCCAACAGTAATAAATAGGACACAATCAGCATCACATGCGAGGCCCCCATCTACACGGAAAACCCCAAGGCAGGCTACATGGTGCTCAGCCGCAGAGTTGTCTTCAACCGAACAAACCTGTGCAACAGTTGATCGTAGGCTTTCTACGTGAATGACAGACGTTGATTGGTGTAATCAAAGACAAGATGGTCAGCAGTCTGACGCCGAGTCCCATCACCAAGCCAGACAGACTATTCAGCCAGCCTTGATAGCCTTCTGCATTCCGACGAGTAACTGCTGCAACCAGTTCGGCCCTCAGTCTTCGGAGTGGCTGACTATCACACCGGCTTACGCTGCATAGTCTAGGGGCCGGGCCGCGCAGGTGCGTTTACGAGCGTTGTCGAAAGAGCCGTGGCGTGGAGCTGGCATAAGACACGCTAGCCTGATCCGAGCATATCTGATGTTTTGGGCCGCGGCTGAAATGTACCAACCATGTCCACTTTCTGATAGGTAGCCAGGCATCACTTCGGTTATGCCGCATTCCCGCTTACTGGCCAATGCTTTGCTTACGCTGACGAGGCGACCCGAATAAGGCGTCTGCTGGGCCTTCTTGCGAGGTGCTGTTTTCAGGGGAATCGAATGACTTGCAGAAGTAAGGGTTCCAACAAACTCTTGGCCAAAACCAACTGCGCAGCTGAGAGCCTAGTTTGTTGAAAGCTTTGAGATCTGCGAATGTCATGTGGTTGCAGCACAGTCGAGCTGTATGGCTGTGTTGCAGGTGGTGCCTGCGTTCGTTTGCCTCATGGCCCGCATGGCAGTTCACGTGGCCACAATATTAAGTGCGCAAACTCAACGATGTCAAGCAGATATTGCTCGGTAATCGAATTGGCAGATCAAGTATTCCCCGTGTGTGTCCTGACAGCTTCACGGTAGGATCAATCTTAAGGTCACCGCGTGGAACCCGTAGATGAAGCTCAAAGTCTAGTCCTTGTTGTTACTACTTTTACTTTCCTAGTCATTCGTATGCTCTCTGCAGTTTCTAACTGTCATTTACCACCACCGGACATCATCTTTTGGAACTTGAGAAATTGTTGGTACTGTTCCATGTCAACGGACGCTCCAGCAGCAGCAAGAGATTGACCTGCAACAGTGCTGGGGGTAGCATTTTTCTCTGATGCTCTTCCATCTTTGGTATCGTTCTCCGAATCCTCGTCAGATTCATTCCCTGTCTCGGAGCTGTCTTCAGACTCGAGGTTTCGCGCAGGATGTTTCGAGCCCTGCTGAATGCGACCAGCCTGGGTGGACTTGTACGGCATCGGCGAGGATACGGTCTTTCGAATATCATGTCGCCAGCCATCGCGTCTAGCATCGTCTGCCTCCGTCGCTCCGTTCACATTGATGAGATAGTTATCGAATTCTTTGAAACCCTTTGCAACCTTTTTGAACTGCTTCTTGCCAAGACTGGGCTTGGGCTCGTCTGCCTCTTTTGATATGTATTGGTACTCGACCAGAGCGATGGCTGTTTGAAAAGCGTTCCGGATTTGTCTACATCATACAATAGTCAGTAATCTTGGCGATTCTAGACATTGAAAGACATCACTCGAAAGCTGGCCGAGTGGGAAACGAAGATACCTTCCATTCCACGTATATCGTCCTTCGAGCTCAAGTCGGTTGTAGTGCTTTTCGGCAAAACTCATGATCTCCTTCTCTTTGATCTTGAAGTTCTGGGTGCCCGTACTGTGCTGCTCTTCTTTGGCTCTTTTGATGAACTTTTCGTAAATCTTGAGAGTCACTAGGAGATCCAGATCGTTGTATGAGAGAGACATCTGAATCCTTGACTTGAAAGCTGGGTCAATTGCTCCAACACGGTTCGAGGTAAGAAACAAGATTCCCGCGTAGTACTCAAGTGTGCGAAGGAATACGCTCATCACAGCATTGTGACGGATGTTGTCTCGAACTCTCTTCGCGAGGAAGATGTCAGCTTCGTCCAGCAATAGCACGCAACCCCATTTATGTGCAAGCTTGAAGCTGTATTGCAAGTTGGTCTCGACCTCGGCCGCCGTCTCTCCAATATCGCCGCACGTAATGGGGAAGAGAGGTCGATGGGTGTCATCAGCAACGCACTCAGCCGTGGAGGTCTTCCCTACGCCAGGCGGGCCGTGGAAAAGAATGACAAGGCCAGCCCCTTTGCCCTTGACAAGGTCCAACGCTGTTCCAACGCTACGTGCGACGCCAGGAGATGCTTCCGCGGCCCGCTTGTTCTCGTGCGTTCTTACCAGTGCCCTGACGGTCTCCTTGTGGTTTTCAGAAATGACGAGGTCGTTGAAGTTATTCTCGAACACAACTTCTTTCAGGTCTGTTGTCCAGATTGTTGCCCACTGTCTAGATCGGAGAACGAAGGCGTAGACGTAGGGCTGCATTAACATCAAATCTTCCTGTGTCAGATCTTTTCCCTGCAGTGGACCTAACATCCTAGTCAGTTTCTGACCGAAGGCGGCAGCGTTCTCTTCATCGTATACGAGGTCATTAAAAATGACATCGCCGCCACAACAACCTGGTTCACGATGATAACACCAGGATCCTTCAATAGTCTCCCTTTTGTCCCTTCGTGTAAGCTCTTCCGACGATATGCTGGTCTTCATCCTCCACTCAGCTTTAGCCGTCATTGCGAGGCGCATATCGACTATGACTTGGTTGTCTAAGTCATGAGATGGCTCATCGAGTGTCTTGCCACGAGCCAGCTTGTGGCAACTTGTTTCTCGAGTCAGGTCCAGAAACCTCGTGCCCATAGCTTCGAATTCGGCTCGCAATACATTGTGCTTCGGGTCGAACCGTAAAGGATAGACGGGTAAAGAAGTAATCAATCGTTTTCCATGAAATCGATGGATGGGGAGTCTCTGTAGTTTTGGGATGTATGCGGTGCCATCGGATCCAAAGCTCAAGCAGTCCAGAACAAAGCCGTCTACAGGAACAGGCTTTTCCACGTCACTGCGCGGGTACCTAGCTTCATACTGCAGTGGCTCACGACCACCCGCCATATTGATGACTCGATAAGCTTGATTGGGGTCAGAAGTCGTAATGACGATGTCTCCCCGCGCAAAGAGATGCCAAAGATCGTCATACTCTATTTCAAGCGCCGTTCCATCCTTGACCTTTTGGCGCAGGTCGAATGTGGACTTCAGGTCGTTGTCAAGAAAGCGGACAAGCAGCTTCAAATCTTCCACGAGGTTCTTGTCATCAAAGTCATGCTGAGTCGAACTTTCGCGGATAGACTCGTTCGCTTGCTCGTGAGACCTCCTTCGGTGCTTGGGTGTGCCAGTATGTATCCAAGCTTCCATTTCAGCCTGGCTCTTCTTGATCACATCGTGGTGCTCAGCGAAGAATTTGAATGGCCGGAGAAATGCGACGCCGCTATGCACCTTGATGCCGTCAATCATAGTCGATTGTGCAAGACCCATTATAGCTCGTCCAGTTATTTTCTCGAGATGTGACAGAAGAGACCACGACCTGATTCGCAGACGCTCCGGGGTCTTCAGGGAACTGCTCTTCAACGATACGCCTTCATCATTCTCAATTGTTTGGTGAGATAGACTCTGCGATTCATTTTCCGAGGTCAAAAGAGTAGATGGGGTTCTTTCGGTAACTTGAACTTCTAGAGCTGGTTGCTGCGCGCAATGTAGTATGGCCGTCAGCCGCGTGATGCGAAATTGATTTGCGTATGACCTTCGCAGTTCATGTCGATGAATGGGAAACTTAGTCTTCTTCGGGGCTTCCCAAGTGTCATCGCGATTCTCAAAAGCAGCTTTCAGCTCCTTCAGGCCGCGCTCAAGATCTTCAATCCGCAAGTTGGTAAATGTATGATGCAAAGATGCTTGATGATATCGCATTCTCATTCGGCCGGATTCTTTCTCCTCTTCGAATACATGACGCACCTCTATCGCATCCGGAAATGCCGCTCTATGGACCGCTCTCATCACCTCGCCTTCTTCCTCTTTCAGTGTGTCTTCTGGAGGCAACTCCTCTTGCTCAGCTGGCAAGTGACCACCTTGTTCAGAACTCGGAGTATCGGCTTTCTGGCTCGTCGGGTCGACATTCTCACTCTCGAAACCACAGATAGACTCCGACATTTCATTGGCCTCTGAAGTTTTCTCGCCATCTTTTTGTTGGAAGTTCCTGTACGTTTCAATGAGAGAATCTTCTCGTGCTGCTTGCGATAGTTCTGGCGGCATATTCAGGTAGATTGAGCAGAGACCAATGGGGATGAGAAAGCCGTAGAAGGAAGGGTCTAGAGGGGCAGAAATCCCCTGGATGACAGCGTCGTTTTAAGTACGACGGGGCGATAGAACAATACCGGATTGTAAATGTGTAGGAAAGCACCGCCGCACTTGGTAAAGTAACGGTCTTACGGTGGGCTCTCAGTCAGCAAGGGGCTTCGGTGTCATCTCTTTCCGCACTGCCTGTATCCATTCAATACCGACTTTTAGTGGCGATGGAAATGCCACCGATAGGTACAGAGGAATGAGAGGCCCTCGTTGGCTGATTCTCAGAAGCACTATCGTCCTCTGTATGTAACGTATCACGCTAGATAGTTGGAGGGTCACAGCTTGCCTCCAGCCTGCCTCCAGCCTGCTTGAAATTCGTCGGTCAAATTACGCACAACCAATAAAATTTGATATCACCATGCAGTCATGTAATATTCGGCGGCTATTGAGGCAACAGTGACTCTTTGCAGCTTGGGTGTCGGAAATAACTGCCACATGTCCTGCACTCAAATTCATCCCTAGCCTTCTCTCGGAGATGATGTGATGTACGCAGGACGAGTTCTTTCATTCTGATAGCTACTCACAGTCTATCTCCAAGATTCTCATGTTTGTCAACTTCAAGCTATGGATGGTGCCCAAAGAGATTCATTCCTCCTTTCCAGGGATCGCTACCCTCAAAAAGAGGCGGTATCATTCACCGAGAATCAAATCTGTCCACCGGGACAGCCACTCCCAGTGTATAGCGAGCAAACTGGAAGTTTCATATCTGCAGATGAAGCATGGAAGCTGAAAGATGCGAGGTAGGGGCTTGCCACTCTCTGTTTCAATACATGCGTATCTTCGATGCATGTAAGGCTGGCCAACTAACAGGTTCTTCATCAACTCTAGCACAGCGATGTGGGAACAGGCGGATGGAGAAAAGGAACGACTTTTTGCCTTAATGACGCCAGTGGAACAGAAACTTGCGAAAAAGAAAAGCGCAGCTCACATCCCACTCGACACGGTAATGGAGTTGCGACGCTGCAGTTGGTCTCAAGTTTTGACCGAGGTTGAGAGGACTGCAGATCATTGGAAAAGTAGCCCAAACCTGGAGAGTAAAAGAATGGTCTTTATTGACAGAATTGGGAGGCATTCAGAGTCTCTGGAAGCTTGGTTGAATTTGTTGCCGATGGGAGATTACGGAGCAAGGTTAGGTTGACATGAGCGACTCCCGCCAACTTCATGCAAACTTGCGCTCACACGTCATTTGACCAGCATCTGTGGGGTATTCAAGCTTTTCATTGGGATATGTCTTAGCTTGTATTTCCGGTGATGTACGCAAGGAAGGCTTTATATTAACGATAGACCAGGCTGCCTCGACCTACTCCAACACCCCGGAGATCATCTTCGAGTTCTTGGCACAAATTCCAGATATGATGGAAAGTTCAAGGCAGTACATGGCGATGTATCGGAACATGGGAGGCCACCGTCTTGACAAAAGAAGCTTTGAGTTGTTCCGAGCGGTCTTAGAAGCACTCACTCATGTTATGCAATTCTTTCTCAACAGCAGGCTCAGTAGGTTGCCTTCCGAATCCCAGATACTAATCAACAATGCTCTTTACCAAGCAGGCTATGACTTAGAAACTAAGTAATCATCTAGAAAACTTGACCCATGCTTGGCTCAAGCAGGGAGCATACCAAGAAGGTCTCCAGAGAAGTATCGAGAACGTCAGAACTAAGGTCAGAGCGTTCAGAGACGAAGCCCAGCAATGTCACGCTCAAGAAACACATGAGAGCATCCGCCTTCTTTCTGACATGAATCAACAATCGAAGACATTGGCCCCTTTTTTCCAACGATTTTTCAAACTACTGGAGACGAATCTAGGTTTAGGTACCCAAGCTCTCCGATCTTTCCCTGCATGTTGAACACCCGTATCGTTCGCCCCTTTGTTCCTTAATCTCTTATGTTCACTCTCCTGGTCATATTCTTTGTTCCCCCTTGCCCCTCCACTTTTGCATTCATCCTTCCCCTCTTGGACAGATATTTCATGCGTTAAGCTAACGCGAATTCATGCAGAACAATCTGATCAGCAATCCAGTTCCCCACAACCACGAATCTCGGCTTACGACATGGTGAACGCAACCCACATCCTTCCCGGGACATCGATATCCATGAACACGCGGGCAAATGCCGACGAACGACGAGCGGAGGCTAAAAAGGCACAAAAGTGATTACTTGAATCTCTCCATTACGACCCAAATCTTGTTTTACGGGACGTGGCCACTCAGATTCGTCTTGGCAACAGACTGACCGACAAACAAAAAGCCAAAGCAGCCACCCTAATACGACACGAAAGTTTCAAGTCATTCATGACGAATACAACGTCATCAAGCTGTCTTCTCGTCAATGGAGGAGACGACACCGCTGCCGTTGACGGTATCTCACCGCTCAGTCTTGTAGCTGCCCAGGCGACGGAAAGCTTCATAGCTGCAGGGGATCCCTCGACGCCGTTCTACGTCATCAATTGGTTTTGCGCGGAGCATAAGCCAGCCCTCGTGGCAGGCAATAATGCTAGAACAGATCCCTGCCCCAGCAGAATGATGACAAGCCTCGTCGGTCAGCTTCTCGAAAGAATGATTGACAGTGGCGTAGAGGTCGACTTATCATTCATGTACGAGTCCAAGTGGCGGCATGTGGAGCAGCTCAAACCGACGACTCTGTGTTCGGTCTTTGTCGGACTAGTAGAGCAGCTTCCTCAGGGGAGTATCTTATTATGTATAGTCGATGAAATTGTCTTGTACGAGACGCGAGCTCTGGAGAGCGACACGAAAGTAGTCATGGGGAAGCTGGCAAGGTTGGCTGAGAAGCTTTCCACTGGACCGCAGATTTTCAAACTTCTCACAACTTGTCAGAATAAAGCTTTGGGTATGGCGGAGCATTTTGGCTACAACAACATCGTCGACTTGGGTGGCAGCACGGGCTCAGATGAATCAGCAAAGTGGACGATATCAAACATGTCCATGGCATACTAGGACTCTGGGATGGATGGTCAGATGAATGGTCACGACGACGCCTGATAGAAATTTAGGTGGCGGCACTCAGATACTTACCAATTTGACAAGAAGCTTGATCTCGAGGGTCAGCACTAACCATGCGGACATGTGCTTTTCATTTAGCTGCATCTGTGCATCTTAGTTACTAATTCCATAACACATTAGTGATCCAGCCAGTTTAAGTAACACGGCTGAAAATGGTGATCGTGAGTTCTTTTTGACAATGATGCCATATCTTGCTGAAATCCATCAAAGCTATAATCTCATCATCGGCACCTTGGGCCACCCGTGATGAAACTGAGCAATCTAGTACATGGATAGAAGGTGAAATCCCATTGAATATTCGAATAACAACACACAGGCAGCCGCCGCATCCCTTTCCCTTCAAGCTTGTTCACGATAACTGATGAGTTAACACTGTAGGCCGTCTGTTCAAAGTTCTAGTGATGGCCCAGGAGCTTTGTGATCCCTTAAGATGCAATCGAATATATGTGTATTTCTCAGACCCATCTTCTTTACCTGAGGTTGTCGCTGTTCTCTGCCTGGTCTTTCGCGACTGATTCTTCCCTGCACACTCACCTTCCTCTACTGTAATATCTCACTCTACCTTACCTGCATGTATTCGCCCGTTTTCTCTTGCCATTGTGTGTTCATCATTCAGGTTCTCTACACCTCCCTTCCCACACAACCTTCACTGTTCGAGTGTTTTCTTCTTGACTTTAGTCCAGACCGGGCGACCATTCGGACAGTCGAACTTGCGATTTACACAAATGTGCAACTTTTCCTCGCGTATTAGACGCCATAAACACATTCAATACTTACCGCAGCTACTACCAACATCGTTGACAATAGCTCATTTACTCCTTACAAACCATCTATTTCACCTCCCAACATGGCAAAATTTATTAACACATTGACCGGCCGTTCTGGCATGGAACTACCTTTCGTATTTGAGGAGCTGAAAAGGAAATGGCAAAGTATCACGAAATTTTGAAGGACGAACTTTCAGCATGGAATCAAAACGCCCTCAGTAGCGATCTCTGGCAGGGCATCAGTGAAGAACGAAAGCGAAAAGAAACGAAGATGAAAGAAGAAGCATTTGATCAGCGACTCTTTCAGCGGAAAACGACGGGCGGCATGATTCTCGTGAACCTTAAGAAGGACCCCAAAGCCAATCCCGACTACTCGCACGCAAAAGCTCCCACCGGGCAAACCTCGCCAATGACCCATCTGGCTGCGGAATGGAAGAATAATAACGATGATGCGTGGGAGCGCAACGTCATCACGATCGAATGGTTCTGTTCCATCCCTTTCCCGAATCGAACGAATGAGGATGAAATAAAACTTCAAGAATCTCCAAGAGGAAAGATGTGTAAAGTAGTCTTTTTAATCAGCTTTTGCGGGAGATTCCTAAGAAAGTTCCCGAGTACGAGCCAAAAGCCTCATTGTTACGAGAGGCCGACTTTACTAAGCGTCTCATGAACCGCGAGATCGAAGCCTTATGCGACCTCTTCAGTGCCCTGATGAAATATCTTGACCAAGAAGCTGGTGTGATATGTGCGATCGACGAGATAGACCAATACAAGACAGATCACCTTTCAAAGGAAATGTATTACACTATTAAGCAGCTGTCAGCGCCGGCAAAAATAAAGTCGGGGGGCTGGTGTCATTCAAACTCGTTTTAACGTGCCAGTGCAGAGCTATGCAGATCAGTAAGTACTTCGACGACCGCAGATACTTTGAGGACAACATCGTGGATGGGTAGAACGCCAATGCGTGTCATTAGAAGTGATTGATGGGTTTGCGTAGTGGAGTGCCTTCCGGGTGTGTATCCTATATCCATATTGATAGCATCTAGTTAGCAAAGTTGGAAATTACATTCTTATTATATCTTTACTCGTGGCCGTATCAATATGAGAGATTATGGCACAAATCAAACAGAATGTATGTAACGGCTTCGTGGATACTTACATCTTTCCCTCATCGTACTAGGTATTTTGTATATCCTACTTGGTCAACTACTTCCAATTTTACAATATGAAGTGAAGTCGTTGAAAATACTTCCGCATCTGCAATAGCATAGTTTGCGATGGAGACGCCAGAACAGACATTAAATGATCATCTTGAAGTATGATAGTCCTGCGAGTTTGTCTCAAGTAGTATTTAGCCCAAGCTACAATCAGAAAGAGTGCATAACAAACGAGATTGTTAAAAAACCATCATATCCTTGGTAGACTCCCTCAAGCGGGTGACGAAGTGATTTGCCACTTGATCTCTCATCGCCACTATTCTCATGACTCCTATCGCTAATACCATGTTTCCTCCCCTCGCGAGGCAATCCACTACCGAGTCAATAATCGAAAATCATGCTTTGGGAGACACGGGAAGGGCAGAAATAGTACATAGTGAAGCAGTAGCAGCAATATGAATGGGCCCAAATGGTATACTCATAGATTGGCCGGCATCATATTCTCACCCGCTCACCCCTGAAAGTAACCGAATAATCCGGATTTCATCTATCACACATAATCTCACCTCAGCAGCCGAGAACGAAGTCTATCACGTCCCAGTATGGTTGGCTATTGTACCAAGGAGGCGTGATTAGCAGCCATAGCATGGAGATGCCAGGGATTGGGAAAACCACGTATCAGTACTGTTAGTCTTTCTTGTTTTGATCCAGGCCGGATTTAGGTTTTTGATCCTCGGAAGAATTTGAACAGCAAATCCTTGATCGTTTGACTCATCTTTATTTCCGAAGTCGCGCTTGGCCAACTCGGTTGGTGAACACCTTTGTCGAGCAGCTCTTCAAAATTAGCAGGTGAGAGTCGGTAAAGGCCAAGTATAGACTCCCGAACTGCCCCAATGTCATTGAAATGAAATCGAACACGGTTCTTTGATGCAGATATTGAGTTTGTCAGCTTTGTCTGGTTAACCCTGTCATAATGACTTTCTCTGTTCAATTATCTTTGTCTGTGCCACTGTCTTCGCTCACTTCTGACACTCTGTTCAGCCTCCTTTATTCGACAATCTTGGCGTTCCCTAACTCGGGAAACTGTCATAAATGAGCAGAGGAGAAGGGTCCTGTGAAGCTGAGGCAACTATTCATCTTCCATATCCCATTACTCCCCAGTTCCTCTCGCTTTCTGAGAAGTACGAACCACGAACAAAGCAAAATCTCGTGCGGCTTTATTTGGGACACAGGTTTTCCCATTAATTGAAATGGATTCAAGGCGTGAGAGACCCAAAATACCAACCCCACCCAAAAATCCGCCTCCGTCACCTCCAACACCACCCAACGCAGTACCCGACGATTGGCGTCCACAGCCCCCGCCTGTTCTTCCCCACGGCGCGGCACCAAAGCCCTTTCCCGAGTACTGGGCGCAGGCGCAATATTCACCTATCGATACGGCAGACTTAAATGACGCTGGGCCACAAGATTCGGATCTGGAATCGCCAGACATTGGAAGACAATCAACCGAAGGGGCTGCAGCCGGGGAGACTGAGGACGAAGAGGCCGACGAAGAAGAGACCGACGAAGAAGAGGCCGACGAAGAAGAGGCCGACGAAGAAGAGGCGCGAAATATAAAGGCTGAGACGAAGGAAAGCCGGATGTTCCGTTATCTTGCATATGATCCATTCCTTTTTCCCTCGGAGGCAAATACGCAATATGAACTTGGCGACAGTTTGAACAAGAAGCAAAAGGAGACCTTGGAGATTATTACCGCTTGCCATCTGTACAAGTCGTTCATGAACGCAAAAAAGAGAACCTGTCGTTTACTCATCAACGCTAGAGAGGACTACGACACTCTCGGAGCGGCAAGGCATTTGGCCGCGAAGATAATGGCAAATCCAGGCTTCATAAGGGAACCGTCGACGATCGTCATTGGTTGGTTCTGCGACATTCAGGGGCTGGTCGAGTATAAGGATCCATCCAAGCCATGCCACTCAAGAGGGATGATGGCCGGTCTTGTGTGTCAACTTCTCGACGAGATGATGGGCAGGAATATCAATTGCGACCTATCATTCATTCGGCATGCTAAATGGGCTGATATCAAAAGCTTTAATCTTCAAAGATTGATTAAGGTGTTTGTTACGTTGATGAATCAGCTCCCCAAAGAAAGTCAAGTAATTTGCGTTCTCGATGAAATCTATCATTACGTGAACTGGGATGCAAGACATGATGCGTTCAATGCCATCAGAGGACTAGTCGCCCTAACTGAGGGCAAAAAGCTGTCCGCGGATCGATATTTCAAGCTTGTTTTAACCTGTCGACAAGAGCCTCTGGGAGTTCGGAGGTGGTTCAAGGATGAGGGCAAGATTATAGATGTGAAGTATCGACGGAAACCCAGAAGATAGACAACTTGGTTCCAACATAAGTGCCATGGCAATTTGCAGACCTGCCGAAATTCAGACATCATAGATAGACACGGGCCAGGTTCTTGTATTAGTGAACTCCGGTTTTTGTGATGAGACCTTCGTGAGAAACATGCAAAGTGAACTGAAAGCATCATGTGTCTTTTGAACATTTATTTGAGTAAGGTACTCGTAGTGACTGGTCTCTCCAGCATCCTTCCTATTGCTGATTCCGAAACGCACCAATAAATGATCAAGCTGGCGTATATTGACGCCCTTGAGCGGTGAACCTTGAAACCGCGTTCATCTCTCAAGTCCAGGTATGAGTCACCAAGGCAGGGGCCTTTGAAACCACCTAGCAACGATCCCAGCGGCCGACGACGGTCCAGTTGTCCTTGTGGAAGGCGCGACCGCTGACGAAAGTGCCAACACCACGGTAACACTTCTCAATGACGTAGTAGGCGCCATCGGAGATCTCCTTGAAGGAGTTGAGGGTCTTCGCCTTGCTGTCCTGTATTGTTCCCACACTGTCAGTCTCGTTCTTGATATCAAAAAACACTAGAAAGAAGCATCTGCTTGCCATGTTGCACCAATAGATGGCAGAGTTCCAGCTACAGCTGGCACGGCCACAGCTCCCGGGATCAGGGCCGCGGGTGGGCTTGCCCTTGACGTCGAGAAGGTAGCGAGCACCCTGGGCGAGGCGCTTGCGGTCGGAATCGTCGTAGCCGGCGCAGTTGACGGGGCCGTCCTTAAAGGTATCGTCGGCCTGGGTGACGGCGTCGATGGCCTCGGTGGAAGTGAGAGTGGTAATGCCGAAATCCTGGTCGTAGTTGGGGTTGATGGTGCGAAGCTCCTTGAGGACCTCCTCGACGGTGCCTGTGATAGTGAGGTTTGAGGTGGAGGGAAAAGAGAGAAGATTCACTTGTGCGGGATGAAGGGTGGTATTTTATGTTGGGCAGATGAGTATGCGACCAACCGCCTCTGTATCCACATCACAACCTCACGATGCCCTCTACTTTTCCGCCTCAGGCCCCTGGCGCCATCTTCACCTATCACAGCAAGGCAATTACGTGAATGTCGGTCCAATCTTCAGCTTTTAGTCGCCAACAAAGGAAGGAAGTATATGCAAGGGTCGATCGGGGCTTCTCATTGAGCTTTTCTGTACAATGGTCAAGGAAATGACTTCGTGAACACAACATCATGCTTAAGGTATTCCACATTATAGCAGGAATGTGGATGAGACCTACTGCCCTTTGAAGATGGACCGCCAAGTCACAAACATCTTTGATTCATACGTTGGACAAACCTTGCCAAGTCCGCCCAAGTGATCTAGACCACCTCAACAACTTAGTACTTTGATGAGAGCATGAACAGTGACACCGCATTATTCAATACACAAACCATGTATGCTCACCCCTTCACTTGTGCAGTCTTGGAGGATGTTTCAGTTTCATTCTGGTCAGAATGCCACTCAAACCTTTTGATCAACGCGAGGATCTGCTTGCCGTTGGATATCTTACAATGATTATGAGACCTGGATCAGTGTGACACATGATTGACATGAGGAGATTAGAGAGATCTTGGAGATTGCTAATTCACCTATCGGCCAGTATCAAGCTTACATACAAAATAAAACATGGACCTATTGATGGAAAGAAGGAAAAGAGGAAACACCACGGATTCGAATATGATCTAGTAGTCAAAATTCCTTAGCCCACTGCCTCCCACTCCAAAGATTCCCCGTCGTCCACAACCAATAATCCCGACCTTTGATCATCCAAACCATGAAGCTGGGCAGCTGATACCCCATGGCAGCACCAACTCCCTTGCTCTTTCCAACCGGAACCAACTGAGTCTCACGGAAGTCCTCCTCGAATAGTCTATCCTTATTACTAGCACTCTCCGGTCTATCGGAAGCTAGTAGAAGGTCCCGTTTGATGTTGGCGCACATGACTGGAACGGCACTTAAAATATTGTGAATAGCAGGCCTGGCGAACGAAGACGCATCGCCGATGGCGTAGACGCGGGGTCCAGCTGAATCAACTCGGAGTGTTAGGGGGTTGGTATTGACTCGTCCATCTGGGAGCAGCAGCGCATGGTCGATGAAGCTCGTATTCGGTCGTGTACCAGTTGCGGGGATGTAAAGATCGGTCGCAATCGTCTTTCCGCTGTCCAAAGTGATGGTCGTATTTGTCGTCACTCCTGTGAACTCAGATTCAGCAGGCACTACATCCTTTACCCGAGTCCCCTTCAGCACAGTGACTCCGACCTGAGAGAGATAGCCTTCTGCTTTACGGGCAATAGTAGGACGAAGCGTGGGAAGGAGTTCAGGCGTAGATGAGACCAGGGTAATGGGGACCTTTGGTCGTCGGGCTTTTCGGCCGTTTAGGTATTCGCCCAGCTCGCCGGCGGTCTCGACACCCGCTGGCCCTCCGCCCACGACCACAATGCTTTTGACCTGCGGCAAGCCCTTACGAAAATCTGCCCAGCTCTTTCGTAGGCTCTCAGAGTCGCTGTTGAGACCGAGGAGAGGTGAGGGAGTAGATGCGCCGGTAGCAATTATTAGGGCGTGATAGGAGAGAGTGATCGGATCGCCCTTGCCTTTCTGTGCGGCAGATACCATTTTTTCACCATGATTGAGACTTGCTGCGGTTCCTTGAATGAACAAAAACTTCTCATTGTCGTACTGTTTGAAGATGCTGGGTATGTCGACGAAGAGCTTGTCTTGGGGAAACATGTCGTCAGATATCATTGCGCGAGGGCATGCAGGCCGGCACATGACTTCTGCGGAGGGACTGATGATGACTATCTTGTAGTCTTTTGCGTTTGGTAGAGCTGGGACAGCATGTTTGAGAAGGTAGTGGGCTGTAGATAGACCGCCATAGGAGCCACCAAGGATGACGATGAGTTTCTTTGATGCTATGGTGTTTGAGAGCTCCATCATGACTGAGGCAACCGGAAATTGGGATGATCTTACACAGGGTATGCGGATGTATAGTGACCTTATATATTCTGGTCACATTGCACTCATTCTGGAGCCAGCTGGTCTTACTGACTTACACGGGGTCAATATGCTCTATCGCGGAGCACCGCGGTCGGATGAACGCTGCTTAGTACGCTTAGGTAATGCTGCTTTATGGCGCTGGCTTGCTCAGAAGTGTTTGGTGGCTGGTTCTTCGGCCGAATTACGGACAAGTACACATACGTTGTCTCCTGTGCTTCATCTCCGTTCATGAAATTCGAGAAAGCGTGAATCGCCATCGATATTCACGTATACTAACCGTGATCCTTCGATCCTTATAGGGTCCATGGTTGTGTGGAGTTGAGATACACACGGGTGGGGTGAGTGATGAAGAAAAATATCTAGTTCCCATTTCGGCCGAGAGATGTCACCAACCCGGCCGAGACAGAGAACATGTTGGACATCCTGCGATAAACTAAGTGTATAAGTGTGCGGCAGCCACTTTCCAAGACTCAAGACTCAGAACTGCACTTATGCAGTCTCTCGAGTCAGATACTTGGTGAAGTTGCTGCAAGAGCCCACGTGCCTCGGATGAAGCAAAAAGACTCGGGGAACGCCGAGTGACGGGGATTCGAAGTCGGCTCGGGATGACATAATGACAATTGGAAATGGCCCGACCTGCAGCGTCAGAAAATTTCTAGAACGACACCAAGAAAAAGAAATCAGCAGAAACTTCATCGGCCGGGCTTTTTTTGGACTGCCTTACGTAAGTAGGAGAGACAAGCGTGCTGCCGGGTGTATCGTGTGGGGGGGGGGGGCTCTTTACCGCCGCCGTTCGCCGCAGAGCCACTGCAAGACCCGGACCCTGTGTCGCTGCGTTGCACTGTCGCGGAGCTGTCAGGTCACTCGTTGGTGTACCTGCACTGGTACAGTGGTGCTGAACAGCGTGTTGGGTACCTGTATGGTCAAGTACCTTAGGTAAGCTCGGTAAGGTACCTTAACGTAGCAGAGGGGTGGGAAAGTGACCATTTTTGGTAGGTGGGCGGATATCTTCGGCGTTGGCGGGGTCATTTTTCACTCCCGATTCCTGTGCTCTCCCTCGCTCCGTCTCAATTCTCGCACCATCCCACCACGACGATTGCGTTTCTCTTTTCCTACCTCTTACATATCTAGAGTCCGTGGACTGATTCCCATTCTTACACTTCCTCCTTTCTCCCTTCTCCTCCTCTCTCCTTTCTCCCTTCTCCTCTTTCCCTCTATCAACCTCCCTCCTATAAGCCAACCACATTATACCCATCCGAATCGCAATCATGGGAGACGCCATCAACGCCACTCGCGCGGCCGTCACCGCAAAGTCGGCCACCGAGCTCATCGGCAACACACCTCTGGTCCGCCTCAACAAGATTCCCCAGAGCCTGGGCATCGAGTGCGAGGTCTACGCCAAGGTCGAGCTCTTCAATGCCGGCGGCAGTGTCAAGGACAGAATCGCTCTGCGCATGATTGAGGAGGCCGAGCGAACTGGCCGCATTAAGCCCGGTGACACCCTCATCGAGCCCACCAGTGGAAACACGTATGTCCTAATGAAGCTCAAAATCACCAGTTTTCACAACTAACATTGAACAGTGGTATCGGCCTGGCTCTCGTCGGTGCCATCAAGGGCTACAAGACAATCATCACCCTTCCCGAGAAGATGTCCGCCGAAAAGGTCTCCGTCCTCCGTGCCCTTGGCGCCACCATCATTCGCACCCCGACCCAAGCCGCCTGGGACAGCCCCGAGTCGCACATTGGCGTCGCCCGCCGCCTCGAGAAGGAGATCCCCAACGCCCACATCCTCGACCAGTACGGCAACCTCGACAACCCGCTCGCCCACGAGTTCGGCACCGCCGAGGAGATCTGGGCCCAGACGGGCGGCAAGATTGACGCCCTCGTCGCCGGCGCCGGCACGGGAGGTACCATTTCCGGCATCGCCCGCGGCCTGAAGAAGCACAACAAGGACGTTAAGATTATCGCTGCCGATCCCCACGGCAGCATCCTCGCCCTCCCCGAGTCCCTGAACAAGGAGCACGAGAACGAGGGCTACAAGGTCGAGGGTATCGGCTACGACTTCATCCCTGACGTTCTCTCCCGCGATCTCGTCGACAAGTGGTACAAGACCGAGGACCGCGAGTCCTTCCAGCTCGCAAGACGCCTTATCGCTGAGGAGGGTCTTCTCGTCGGCGGCAGCTCCGGCTCCGCCATGGCCGCCATGGTCCGCGCCGTTAAGGACCTTGGCCTCGGAAAGGGCCAGACCGTCGTCGTCGTTCTCCCCGATAGCATCCGCTCCTACCTCTCCAAGTTCGCTGACGACGACTGGCTCGCCGCGAACGACCTCCTCCCCGAGGTCAACGGCCTCGAGACCCAGGCCACCACCAACGGCGCCGCCACCAGCGCAAAGGGCTCCGTCGACCCCTATGAGGGCGCCACCGTCAGCGCTCTCCGCCTCAAGCCCGTCATGTCCGTCCCCGCCACGAGCCCCTGCTCTGAGGCGTCCGAGATCATGCGCGACAAGGGCTTCGACCAGCTTCCCGTCCTCTCCGCAAGCGGCCACAAGCTCGTCGGTCTGGTCACCCTCGGTAACCTGCTCAGCTACATCTCCTCAGGCCGCGCCACCGGTTCCAGCCCCGTCAGCGACGTCATGTTCGACTTTGGCCGCTTCGATGAGGTCGTCACGGATCCCAGACAGGCTGGTGAGACGGGCGAGAAGAGCAAGAAGAAGCGCAACTTTGTCGAGATTACTCTTGACACCCCTCTTTCGACCCTCAGCAAGTTCCTCGAGTGGAACAGTGCTGCTGTCGTTACCGAGAAGGCCGAGGGCACCAAGAACCTGTCCAAGCCCGTGGCTGTCGTCACAAAGGTCGATCTGCTCACCTGGGTCGTCAACAAGAAGGCCTAAACGCTTCCCCCCTTTTTCTTACGATAATTAAAAAATTACGACTTGGCCTATATAGAGTATCAAGAATACGCATGAGGATGCAGATGATGTTGCTTTTTTACCTGGGTATCGGCGTTTTGAAAGCGGGCATAGCAAAGGTGGCAGGGGCAAATCTTGGGTCGAATCAACTGACCCCGGTTGGCAGCATTTGCTTGGAAATCTTGGGATGGGAGTAGACTCAACATCTACGTAGAGAACAGGGCAGCCAGTCTGATCCTATAAGGATAGAATCACAACCACACAGTGTTTTGCGCCATCTTTTGGTCATCGAACTAACTTTTCTCAACAACGTAACAATTATATGCTTTTATTATTATATGCCCTTTACCGCTGCATCACTCATTATATCCGCTGGGCAATCCAAGACCACCACTTATCAGGGCCCGTAGCACTTCCAGTAACATTGCCCGCGATGACATCCACCTCCACGTCAAATTCGCGCAGCTGGTCAAAGGTGAACTTCTCCGTACCATACGCGCCCAACCAATCATCGTGCTCCTCGGAGCCAACATCATCAATGCCGACACCGGAATCCAACAGACCCTTGCTGCGCGACGACCGTATCCGCGTAATCTCAGCCTCGAGATTCGACTTAACCAGCGCGCCAGGCAGCGCCGTGAACAGATCCGTCTTGTTGGCGGCGACGAGGACGGGGATAGGCGGGGGCGGCTTGGACGACTTGCTCGAGGCAGCGCGCTTTTGGAGACCGAGGAGGACTTCGTAGAGGTAGCTTGCCGTGGGCGCGAGGGCCTCATTCTCGCCAATGGCGGCGGCGTCGACCATGAAGACGATGGCCTTGAGCTTGGAGTTCTTGCTGTTGCCGGCGCCGGCGCCGCTGGCGAGCTTGCCGAGGGCGTAGTTGCGGAGCTTGCCGTGGCCGGGGGTGTCGACGAGGAGGAACTTTGTGTGGGTGCCGCTCGTGTCGTCGTGGTTGCGGAAGCTCTGGGCCGTCTTGCTGTCGCGCGAGGCCGTGAGCTCGACGGTTTGGGGGCGCTGGCTCGTGTGGGTTGTCGCGGGGGCGTCGCCTCGTTCGAAGAGGGTGAGGAGGGCGGTCTTGCCTGCGCCGGCGGGGCCGAGGAGGAGGACGGAGGGGAGAGTTGTGTAGGGTGTTGACTTGATGAGGATGTAGTGGAGGAGGACGGGGAAGAGGAGGACGATGGCGGCGCCGATGAGGATGACGGGCGTCGAGGGGGTCATGATGAACTCGAGGAACTCCGTGAAGGAGCCCATTTTATCGGCCATGGTTGCTGTCGCTGTTGCTGGCGGTGGTGAAATTGTCGGGTGTTGAGAAGAGTGTCCCCGGAGACCCTGCGCGAAACGGCTGACTAGGGGTGGAGGGGTTGGATGGTGTGAGTCGTGTCGGGTGGTCGTTGACAGATTTCCAGAAGAAATCGCCAAATGCCGTCAGTGGAGCTCTTTCCTTGCCCAACGAAGCGCAAAAGACAGGAGAGTGGCAGGAGTGGCAGGTGGTACGTGCACCTCGGAGATTCAGCCACAGTATACCCGCTTTTTCGGACGAGGCTGAGGGGGCCGAGAAATCCGCTTCCACCTCTAAGGTGAGGCTAAGCATGGGTGTCACTGGCATCTCATGCCAAGCTTTGGGGCGCTGAGTTCCTCCCAGCCAATCACGGCTATCACGGCAGACGACTGCAGGAGAGTGGTCGACCCGCCTTTGTCAGCTCAGCCTCGCTAGTCCGATTTAGGGGGAGGGTCTCCCGGCGATCCCCTTCCACTCACTGGACTCGGTGCTCACCTCGAATTCCCCAGTCGTCAACGCTTGCCAACGCTGCCGAGCTCTGCCAAAGCTGACGACACGCAATCTCGTCACTCTTGGCTTCCGGGCGTCTTTTCCGTCCTCCTTCCAACTGTGGCACAACTTTCTCTTTTTGTTTCCACTCTTGTGTTTCTATCATCAATCTCTCGTTTGTTGGTGACACCCCTGTCCACCGTTGCGCGCGTGCGAGCCCCCCGTCTCAATTCTTTCGCCTGGACCGCATCCATCCATCCCCTTACCTCAAGCAATGCGACGCTAGGTTCGAGCCGAAGTTTAAACTCCCCGAACAAAATAATACTCAACTCTTTCCCACCTACCACAGCTCTTCCCAATCGATAACCGACTGTCCTTCTCCTCCCCAATCCGAGACATCGAAAGAAAGGCTTAGAGTCCCCGCAACCGCCGACTCCCCGACTTCGATGGACAAATCTACCACGACGGCCGCTGCCGCCGTCGCCGCGTCCGTGGCCCCAAATCAACCTGCAAACAAGACGAGCGCCGCTGCGCCCACACTGAATAATGAGCTGGAGATGGGAAGCATTGGCGGCGATGCGCCTAGCGCGGAGAACGACATCATGCAGATTGCGCGTGTAGGAGACGTTCCGGCCATGGAGAAGCTCTTTGAGTCGGGAGAGTACGATGCGACCTTCACTGATGACGAAGGCATCACACCCTTGCATGTACGTTGCATGCCACCTCTTTGAAGGCCTCCCAAGCCTTGTCGCAGCCGGGTCTGATCTCATTGTGCTAATATATCCCAGTGGGCAGCTATAAACAACCAGTATGCCATGTGCAAGTTCCTCATCGACAATGGCGCAGAGATCAACAAGAAGGGAGGCGAGTCCATCGCAACACCTCTCCAATGGGCCGCCCAGAGATGTCACTACTACACTGTCAACCTCCTCCTCCAACATGGAGCCGACCCCCTCATCACCGACGCCCAGGGCTACAACACCCTCCACATCTCGACCTTCAACGGCAACACTCTCCTCCTTGTCCTCCTGCTCCACCAAGGCATCCCCGTAGACGTGCTCGATAGTTACGGTCACACGGCGCTCATGTGGTCCGCCTACAAGGGCTTCCCTCAATGCGTGGACCTCTTCCTCCGTTGGGGCGCTAGCATCCACACCACGGACGAGCAGGGCTTTACCGCGCTTCACTGGGCGTTGGTCAAGGGCTCCCCCGCCTGTATACAGAGGCTCCTCGAGTACGGAGCGGACCGATTCGCAAAGACGCAGACCGGCAAGACGCCCGCTGTCACGGCTAAGGAGCTTAACACGACCGGCGCATGGCATCGGGCTCTTAAGGAGTGCGGATATGATGAAGATGGACAGCCGATTGAGCCTAGCTTCCCTGGTTCGCGCTTCCTCCGCCAGGATAAGAGGGGTTTCGTGACCAAGTTTTTGTTCCTGTGGCCCTTCCTATTGGTCTGGTCCATGATTACGATACTGGGAAGCATGAATGTTTTTGCTGGCGTCTTCTTCTCTCTCGTCGTTGGATATGCGCTTCAATGGTGTGCTCAACAGGTCATCGAGTTTGCGCCTCCCGACATGAGACACTTCCACAAGACTGTAAGTTCCGCAAGTGGCATTGTGATGATTCGGACTGACAAGAGTAGCCCTGGTTGGCTGGTATCTTTTCTGCATCTTTGTTCTTGGTCGGTCTGAGGTGGTTGACTACTATTCTTCCCGCGACTACCGGGTCTGCTGGTAAGCTTTGCTACACTACACGACGCTGAAGCCTTTGCTAACATCACACAGCTGGCACTTCCTCTCACTGGTGGCTCAACCTGATCTTTGGCGTATTCCTCGGTCTCTGTGCCTACTTCTACAGCGCCGCGATGAGATACGACCCCGGATTTGTCCCCAAGATGAACGGCATCGCCGAGCAAAAAGCCGTCATTGATGAGCTGCTCAAGGAGTGGAAGTTTGATGAGACAAACTTTTGTGTTACGTGCATGATCCGGACGCCTCTCCGCAGTAAGCACTGCAAGCGGTGCCAGAAGTGTGTCGCAAAACACGATCAGTGAGTGGACTTTTTGTCTCTAATGTAGAACCTCGCTAACCAGATTAGTCACTGCCCTTGGGTTTACAACTGCATTGGTATCAACAACCACCGTCACTTCTTCATGTACCTGATCAGCTTGACATTGGGCATCGTTTCCTACGACTTCCTCGTCTACTACTGTGAGTATCAGTCCTCTGAGCTCTGCTTCGGCGCTAACACCAATGGCGCAGACTTCACAGACATCTCGGACAAGGTCTCAGAAACCTGTAACTTCCTTAGTCCCAGCCTCTGCAAGGTTGTCAACGCCGATGGCTACACGGCAATTCTCACTGTGTGGACAACTCTGCAGCTCACCTGGGTTGGCATGCTGCTTTTCGTGCAGTTCGTCCAAGTCTCTCGCGCAATGACCACCTACGAAAACATGTTCGGCATCCAAGACGGCTCTCTCACGACCGCTTTCACCTCAACAGGCACCCCCCTCGACCCGAACCACCCGTCACTGACCCCTCCGGAATCTACTGGTGCCCACGCCCACGGCCACAAGCACAAGGGCGGCCGTCTTCAACAATGGTCTCGTCTCCTTGGCGTGGACCCCTTCATCGAGACCATCCGCGGTCGCGGCGCCGCAACCCAGAACAAGCGCAGGAAGAAGAACCCATATTCCAACGGCTGCATGGCCAACTGCCGCGACTTCTGGTGCGATCCCGCGCCCACATTTGGCCAACGCGAGAACGGTTCTGCCATGCTGGGTGGCGAGCCTGTCAACTACACCGCCATGTACGAGAGCCCGACCCTAATGAACATGAGCAGAGGCCGGAGGAGAGCAGGGGGCTACGAGTCCGTTGCTGCAGAGGAGGTATAATAGACTTGTTTTTTGTCATGATTGGAGGGAGGGGTACTGGATCAGTTCCACGACTGGTGGTGCGAAGGAAAGCTGGAAGTGCTGCCCTTCACGCGCCCCTCCTTTTGCGCGCTTTGCTTTTTCCCAAGCGACGACTTCTATGGAAGAAAGATTACGACGAGGCTTAAGATGATGTTATTTTACCCTCACAACGACGAAAGAGAGACGTGGCGTCAACGAGCGCCTGCAATTGCATGGCTCGGGATGTATTAATTGTTGGTATATGTAGAAGTATGACTTAGGTTGGTGTTGAGGAATGGAGTCTTTTCTCCGTGTGGACAATCTTGACTTGGCTCTAAGCTGCTTTTGCTGTGTAAGTGTGTTTCAATACCGCCTACTTGTCTTGAATGTTCCCCTTCTGGTCCAGACCCGGTTGCATTGGACCGCCATCCCGGACCGAAAAGATCCAAGACAGCCATCGCTTGAATGGTCCTGCGCCAATAGAATCAGAGGCGTGTTGGGTGCTTGTAAGGCACATTTATATTAGGCATACCAGCCAGTCTCCTCCAATCAGACTGTAGTCAGCACAATTGTCCTGCTTTTGGATAGGAGAGGATGTTCAAGGGCATCTGCGGCCGATTGGATCTGTACCTCATGTTGTTCGGCATAATGTCTTGCCGTAAGCGCTACGTCCAGAGTTGTGCAAGGTATATGAGGGGTTGTCTTGCATCAGGCAACACCACTGTCATCGTCTTTTTCGAAGCCAGCCTTGCCCTTGACATCAACGTGGGCGTTTTTCCGGCGTGCATTCACTCGCGAATTATGTGATGAGCTTTATGCAAGCACCGTCACAACAACGGGGCCTAGAAGCCATACTTCAGGCCTCCACCATCACCTCAAACCTAACGCCATATGAGAACTTGAACTACCCAACAGTCTCTCAGCTTCCCGGCGTAGTTGCTGATAGTCACGACGGAAGTTTGATATCACAATGGTATATCAGTAACCCCCAGCAAAGGTCAACCCCGTTTCTACAGATAGTAGTAGTCTACAAAGCTTGCGGCTGACCGTGATACTGCTAGATGGTCCGATCCCGCGAAGAATGCATACGATGACGCGATCGCAATCCTGAGAAGAGAGCTTACAGATGAAGAGTATCAACATTTACGGCTCCAAAGCCAGCACTCAATGAGTGATGTGCAGTCTGCGGTCGAGTCTGCCCGGCAAGAGTACCAGGCGAAGTCCAAAGGATCCAAGATTCAGTCTGCTTTGACAACCTGCTCATCCAGAATAATGTTCTATGGAGGTAAGCTCTGGGGAACAAGTCGCCAGTTTCACAGTGTAGGTGCATACACTAATGATTGATGTGCTGTTGAAGCAATATTTGATACCTTCTCACAACATCACCCCGAATATGTGTCTTTGGGCTGGGGCGCGTTGAAGTTCCTGTTCGTTGTAAGAGTCCCGCCGTCTCCTCGATCTAATTAGCGTCATATTGACTTGCACCAACAGGCTGTTCTCAATCATGAGGAGCTCCTTGTTGAGATATCGAAGGCAGTGTCTCGAATCGCACTCGTGCTGCCCAGAACCGAGCTACACTCTGTGCTTTACCCCACGCCACGCATGCAGGACGCTGTATCACAGCTATACGCAAAGATCATTGAGTTCGCCCTGATGGCAATCAAGTGGTACAAGAAAGGCAAATTATCTCACTCATTCACGGCTATTATCAAGCCATTCAGTTTGGGGTTTAAACCCATTGTCGAGGAGATTGCAGAGCGGTCCAAGCACGTCGATGAGCTGGCTAGCGCAGCAGTCAAAGCCGAGATCAGGGATCTACATGTCAACATTCATAGGCAAAATAAGACGATACTGCAATTGACAGAGATGGTTTCTTGTAGGTTAAGGGCATGACTTGGTCAGTCATTTAGATCTAAAGCTAATATAGGTGCTCAAAGTCATGCAGCAACAACAGTCTCTCCAGACCCAATCTCTACTGGCGTTGAAAGAAGAGCATAAACAGATGTTCAGGGCCAGCCAACTTGAGGACATAAGGACAGTCGCACTGCTAGAGGACACGGCAGTAGCGGATGACAGCCTGGCATGGTGCCGATCGATGCGCAATCGACGTAGACAGAAAGCGCCCACACAACTACCCCTATCTGAGCTACACAAACTCAAAGCCTGGACCTCTGATCCCTCATCATCCCTCTTACTCGCGGAAGGACAGGGAGTAAAGACCAGCTCGCTCGACTTTGCAGCTGATTTTCTTGATATAGTGCTTGAGCATGAGTGCCCCGTCATCTGGGCTTTGTCTTCAATCGTCATTGAGCACGACAATGATAGCCTGGTATCGTCGGTCTCAGGCGTTATTCGATCCCTCATCTCACAGGCTCTGTCACTGAACGATGCTGTAGTAAGCGAAGGCATCAATCCTCTCACACCTAAACACTTCAAGTCCGCCATCAGCATTGCCCAGTGGCTTGATATACTTGATCGATGCCTCTCGACTTTTAAGCGGCTATTCATTATTTTGGACATGAACGCTATTGAGACTGCTTTTGAGCAAGCGGAATGTGAGGAACCAAATTTTAAACTCGGTGACTTTGTGGAATGGATCACGCGTAAGTCAGAACTAAAAGGAGGAATCATTAAAGTCATCGTCGTATCATGGAGGTTTGGTGTGAATACGCCCATAGATGCCGAAACACTTTCTGAGGACAGGCATATTTTCACTGATAGAGGGCGCAAGATTGAGCGGCTGATGAAACAAGCCAGGTTCAGAGCTGCGTTCAGGAGAAGACACAAGAACTTCAGTGACAAGTTGAGATCTTTGATTACTTTAGATGACGCCAAATACAGCCTGTGATCTGCCATAACTTCGAATCGGAAATCAGCTCAATTAGATTTAGATATCCAAAGCGGAAGTAAATAAAGTATTCAGCCAGGCCTTTACAGATAGCAAGACTTTGTGAGACCTCTCGTAGCTGAGGAGACATCGATAACTCTAGAGGCACCCAGCACTGTATCTCAGCGAGATCTCATTGGGCCGGTGTCAGAGCAGAATGACATGTTAGAACCCCTTATCCTCAGTCCGCAGGTCTTACGCAAGTTAAGGCAGTCATCTGACAAAGTCACGTGTGACAAGATGAGGGGAAGCTTGCCTCCCAGCCTGATTGATCTTACGGGTGTGGGTGTTCAACCAGTCGTCCCGATCATTTTCGAAGAAACATCAACTGGAACTGGGAACCCAGTACGAATGAAGTGCTTCCGCTGCTTTCTAGAATTTCTCGTTCAGTCTGTTTTTTTCATGTTCAAGGCGCCACATATGAGCCATGGCACCACTTCCGGCGGGTGTTATTGAGTTGAAATTATCACGTGTACCAAATAGGAGAAGGCCCGACCAACACCAATCGAACGCAGCCCTTTCTACGGGACACCTGGCAAATACTACGTATACTCAGTCAGCCCCAGAAAGTGATGGCAGTGGATCGGAAGACATTTATGATCGAAAGGGTAGATCACAGAAAACTGAGCAGGATCTTACAACTCTGTTCCGTAGCTCAACTATCTCACGAGATGATACTCAAAGTCAAGCTGAGCAAGAACGCGAAAAGTTATCACACCTCAAGTTTCATTTGAACTCCGATAGTAAGCTGGGTTGACTAGTTTTTTTACAATCGTCGGGGTGCTTATGACAGCTCTAGACCTACAACTCAGCAATTCTAAAGACGCACAATTTCTCCCATCGCAGTACATCCAACGTTCATTTTCTAACACCTCTCGCGCCCTTCCACGCCCGTCATTGCCAGACCTAGCTCCGCCGCATGTTTGGACCTTGTCCCAGTCTGTGCAGCCCGATTTTCCCGCACGTGCTTCGATGCCGCCGCCGCCGCCGCCGCCGCCTCTGCCGCCCCTCCCGGCGCCGTCGCCGCGACCATTCCCAATGCCCTATTACGCTCCTTCTCAACGTATCAAACGCCATCGTCTAGCTCCAGTTCTCGGTCCACCTCGTTTTCCATTAACAAAGGCCTCGAAGAACTCAAAATGGCGGAGGAAACTGCACGCTCAAAGACAGCCATCTTCAGAAGAACGTCGGGAAGATATTGGTGTGCGAAATATCGAGCAGTTGAACGTCAACAGTAATCTCCATGATGGTGAGAAGAGCAAGACAGTGGACCTTCCGACAATCAAAGAACAACATGACTCCGGCCACAATGTGAACCTTGCCGAATCTCTTGCCTTGATTACAGAAAGGTACCTTGGCGTTGACGTTCTGGACCAGGGCAAAGAGGTATCCGCCTTCGTGTCCTACCTTCTCGACACAATCGAAATTTTACAGAGCCAAGCAAAATTCCGCGCTGCCTACAGCTACGACAGTGATTCTGAGAGTGAGTCAGTAAATCTAGAAGTAGCTGTCAGTCAGCCTCCCGATTTTCAGACTGTTCATCAACTCTTCTGCACAGTCGGGGATCATCACCATGGCGGAATGCTATCTCAAGATGAACCAGTGGCTCGAAGGACCAAGTTTGCTGGCGACACAGGTTGGCTTGAGGCTAAGAGAGGGATCAACAATCTCGAAATATGGTTAGGCGAGCGACCGTCGCTCTGCTTCATCGTCATTAGAGAGCACCGTTGCTCTCCAGATCAAAAAACTGATGACCAAAGACATAGGACGCAGAAGCCCTCGTTATATCCTTCTGCCAGACGAGAGAGGCTCAGAATAGTGTCGCCTATACTACAGAGAGCCCTGAATAAAGTTGCGGAATTTCAAGTTCATCCTGAGAATAGACATTACGAGGCCGCTATGGAAATGGATGCCCCATATCTATTCTTGTTTCACCATCGAAGAAGGCTCGCAACATTAGCAGATACCGAAACATACCAAGAAGTTCTTTTGCCTCTAATGAACTTTCTCAAAGAAAGCTACGAGGCCGAATACACGGAGGCTGAAGAGATGTTTGCCCAGGGACATGTCAACGCTCACCATATCCACAAGTTATTCAAGCCGAATCAAATGCTCCTCAAAAAAGAAAAAGGAGATCCCTCACTTGCATTTGTACTCAAAGATTACAGCCGGACGGCCAGGAATGATATCATGCTTGAAGGCTGGAAATGGGAATACGACGGCAACGACTTGGAGCGAACCAATGAATTCGGGGTGATCAGGTCTATATCTGAGGAAAAGACGAACATTTGCGACCTTTCCATTCACCCAATTGAGTTCGCCAGAGAAGAAGACATCAAACTTTTGACCCAAAGGGGAAACAAGTTTTGGAGCATGAGAGATCAAGCATACACCTGCTACACAGGGTGGGATAGCGGGTCAAAACATCAATATGTTGTCAAACACCCTTTCAAAATGACCACTTGAAAAAGAGGCTAACCTGACGCCAGGCCTCTGCAAGGTTCATGGTGGACACGGCAACATATCACATGATGCATGTCGAATCGCCACCTTCGCCATCTGAGAGATCACGCCAATATGATCCATGGCCCATGAAGGTCAATCGTCGAGAAGACTTACCGCACAATGCTGAGATGTTGATGCCCGCCACTGTGCATGGCTTCAATCTCCAACAGAAGAAATGGGGTGAGACCACGGGTTGAGATATTGGTCACTTTGAAATGATGCTGACGCTTTCTTGTTACAGTTAATTTGAATGTCGAAAATACTCATCAAGTAGATTGGAATCACAAAGCCTTCCAGCGTCTCGTTTTGGATGAGAAGATCAAGGAGATGATCCATGCACTCGTCAATGTTCAGACCTCGACCAAGAAGATGGACGATATCATCACTGGGAAAGGAAATGGCCTGATTATACTCCTTCACGGAAGTCCAGGAACTGGAAAAACATTGACCGCAGAGAGGTGAGCCATGATTGCGTATCGGTCAAACGTCAGGAAATGAGCTGAGATTCTTTGCAGTGTTGCAGAAATCGCAGAAAAGCCATTGTACCGAGTTACCTGCGGAGATATAGGTACTGAGGCGCCCGATGTGGAGAAATATCTCGAGACAGTCATGTACTTGGGGAAAGCTTGGGATTGCGGTTTGTTCCTATTGATTTGAAGCAGCAAGTAAAGTATTTTGGTGCAAACTAACTTGTGGATAGTTCTTCTGCTGGATGAAGCGGACGTTTTCTTAGAAGAGAGAACCATGGCAGACTTACAGCGAAACAGCTTGGTATCCGGTGCGTATAACCCCTTAGCTTCAATAGTGAAATACATTACTGACTCAACTTAGTCTTCCTACGGCTCCTCGAGTACTACGAAGGCATTCTCATCTTGACGTCCAATCGCGTTGGATCCTTCGACGAGGCATTCAAATCTCGTATCCAGGTGGCGATCCACTACGACAACCTGACCAAGATGTCACGTAAAGCAATCTGGCAAAACTTCTTCGACATGATTGAGGAGTCAACCGACGAAGATGCCAACATGCCGGAACTAGAGAGAAGACTCGATCAGTTGGCATCAGAAGAGATGAACGGCAGACAAATCCGGAATGTGCTACTCACTGCGCGACAACTTGCGAAGCATCGCAAGGAACGATTGGACTGGGAACATCTCAGTCAAGTTATCAAGACTTCTGCTGCTTTCAACAAGTACCTAAGGGCAGTTCGCGGACATACTGATGAGCAGTGGGCAAGGGGGGAATCGCTGCGTTAACGGTCAAATCGTTCGAATTTCTTCAACCTAAACCTATTTTCCCTAATTTATTTCGTGATTATTCGCAAAATTCTAGTAGCGGCTGCAAAGTTGATGTGATTGGATAGAAAAGACCCTAGCTAGCAGCGGACACCCGGAAGTTCTGATTGTCGTGAAGTAGATGCTGAGTGAACCCTACCCCTGGAACGACCGGTGCCTAACACCTCTTATGGGTGGCTAACCAGGAAGAGAGAAAGAAAAGTACTGAAGCAACATGTTCGGAGGCACACACTACTTCACTTCTCAGGCCAAATGACGAACGTTATCTGCATCTTCCATCGCCGATTCGTTGGTACCCATAAAACCACAACCAATGTCTCCTACGAGGGGGGCGGGTGAAACGCATTGACCATCCAGCCCAGTCAAGAGTTGATGGGCTTATTTCCACCACATGACAAACTGATTGTCAAACTGCAAGGTCTCACCGCCCCTAGTAGTGAGGCTGTAGATGCTATCCCAGGCGATTCTCCAAGGCTGTCGGAGGAAGCCGGTAGCGAGATCCTCAAGCCCAGCCATCAAAAAGTTGGGAGCTTGTGCAAAATTTCAGCTCCGGCTCTCTAATTTCAGATCTCTAATTTCAGACTCCATGAATTGTGTGAACCTACCACTGGGGAAATCCGGCTCAAATTGCACAAACATGGTGTGGATGTCGTTGAACCAGGCAGTTACGACGAGATGAACTCCGCTGACGATGATGCGAGTCTTGACTCTGTTGGCCCAACCGTTTCCGGCCCTGAAGTGGTCGCTCTGGTGAGAGGCAGGCCAGACTAAGAATTGTGTCAGTGATAAGTTCCTACGTGATGAGTGTAAGGTGCGCACCTCTGGCTTCGAGCGAGTTCTCCTCGGGGGCCTTGGCCTTGCCTGCAGCAATGACGTCTGTCGCGGTTAGCTTACAGTAATATCAGTCGTGGTGATTTCCACCTTTGGCGATGAGGGCATCGCGAGCCTCGAAGGATTGTAGAGCCTCAACGCTCACAACAGGGAGACCTATTATTAGATTACTTTAGCAGGGGCTCTAGTTGACGTTTTACCGCGAAGACAGCAGTGACGCGTCATTTCAGATTTACTGACCGTTGATCTCTTTGACGTCCTTGGACCCATTGTCGGCGACTGCAACAGGGGACGCTGTGGCCACGGCCAACAGCAGAGCGAGAGCACCTGTGAGACGCATTGTGGAATTTAGAAGAGTGAATTATCTAGAACGATACTGAGCGAGAGTGAGAGTCAGAGAGAATGAATGTTTGACGAGGTATGAGATGGAAACGTCAAGAACTTCTTGGGGAGTAGGGGCGGACTTTAAGTAGCTGTCTGGCAGTCAGTATCAAGCCTGATCCCAAAGCCGAGAGACACTGCCGTGAAAGGCCAAAAGCGCAAAGTGGAATCAGAATGTGATGCTTTTACAAAAGTGCCTAGGCATTGACCATTTGAAATGTCTCCGTTTCTTGTATCTCCAGATATCTTCCGCGTTTGAACACTCGCCACTGTATTATCAACGCAAGCCCACGTTCAGTAGCGCGAAGCTTGACCGGCAGAGGGCGCAGGCTTCGGCCTCCCACTCTGCTGTCGTTTGGCCCTATTGGGAAAGTTCTTAATCTGTGAAGGTTGTATGTAGTTCGTTCCACCACGCAGGCGGTCTAGCAGGAGCCTTCACACTCACTGGCGACTCTTAGCAAGTTGAGGTCACAATGTGCTTGTCTAGGGACCTAGGCTATAAAACAAGCTTTTGGACAAGCCTTTCCCGCCGGCTTGTGGGCCTTCCAGAAGAACGCCCACTGAGCCGAGTTACCATCACGGCACCAAGACGCCTCTGACAGGTGGCCCTTCGTAAGTAAGTACGATAACGAAGATGCCGGAGACCACGCTACTTTTGAGCTCTACTATAGTACTACTTACTACTTTGGGTAAACTCTCCGAGTCTACACACGAGGTAAGAGTGTGTTGTTCCTCGAGGCTGGTAACTGCATGAACTCAATTACTGTTTAATACTTCAAGATGCCGCCTCGTCGGTTCCGCCGAGAGGTCAGGAGGCACTCTCCGTATTAATATTTTCTTTCAAAATTCTACAAAATGGATTGAAGAACCCTAAGCATTGCCTGATTAGGATAGAACTGCATGATCATTGGGTTCACTGATTCCGCTCTAAGATACCAAGCTTTTGGCCTTAGATAGTATCCGGTGGGATACTATCGGTAACATGTGGGATGGTTCTGAGCCTTGGTATGGGAAAGCTGAGTGACAGTCGCCTAAACCTCGAGAAGCCAATTACGGTAGCATAGTTCAATTTGACTAGTGCGATGATAGTCCAAAGGCAAAGAGCCAGACCGGGAGGAACAGACTTTTGGCTTCGGCAGCGCACATTTGTGATCTCGACAGACCAGTTGAGGCTACCTATCACGGCAAATTGGGTTGACTGAATAAGTACCTAGCAAATAGACTATAAAATGGGAGACGCCAAGTCTTCTGGGACAGTGATGTAAAACCCCATCGCCCTCATCTTTCAATCCAAGTACACAGTCCTACTCCTTCAACTCATTCCACAATGAAGGCCACCGCAATTCTTGCACTCTTGTATCTGTAAGATGTTCCCACCTTGTTGCTTGAGTAATAGTTGACTTCGTATCGTAGCACTCCTCTGGGTGTTTCGGCCTGGATGTGCAGCTGTTATAAGAAGAGCATCCCCGACCTGCACGCTGCCTATCACTTTTGTCAGCCCGGCTCCGGCCATAAATACTGCGTCAACAAGGCGACCAATGTTCAAGCGGTAAGGCGTTCCAAGCAAGCGGCTATAAGTACCGTTGCAATGCTAACACCTACAGTGTATTATGGGCGCGCCCATCACCACAGCGAACTGCGCCTCAAGCTACGGTAGTGATTGGGTTGCGGAATGTGAACACTACACTGGCGGGTGCCCTCCTGGTATGACTGAGCAGTAAGAGCTAGGAAAGGACCCGTTGCAATGGATGTGAAGTTACTTTAGAAGAAGGGTTGCGAGATGCACCGTAGAAAAGTAGGGGACATTGTACCACGATATGACAGATTTTAATGACTTTGATGCTGCGACCTCGGAACCATCTCAAGACAGCGCAACTCCAAGGCCGTCCAAACGAACGCAAGGAAGCCGCAAATATTGAACCATTCGATTCATAGAACACATCGAGACTCTTTAGCAAATTGAGCCTGCGCATGATTGATGGCTTAAAGGGTGATAATCCCGATACTTTTTTCGTAATAGCATGTGGCTAAGCAAACCACTGGTAGATAAAGTAAGAGATTCTACAATGATTACCTCTCGAGTATATGGTCACCTACATGTCGATGCTAAGGACGTCAAGTCTCTGATATCTCTACATCGTCATTCCACCATGTCCACTTCATTAGCAAAGTACCATATCTTTCCGCCTATATAATCCGAATGTGTATTTCGACTCTTGGCGGCACTAGGCCTAAGGCTTCACGTTCGTCTACAAAGGGGGGCTGTGGTTAAGCCACATTCTTATGGCCCCTTCTACCTTGTGTTACCAGATACTATCTTTATCTTGTCCACTATCTTTGCAGACTTGGGTAAAGTTCATGAAGAACGCTACTGTCGCGACCCAACACGAGGGCCCAAGCCAAGATCTCACGACAGCTAGGCTCCGACCAGCACAGTTCGACAAGAAAGACGGCGTCGCTTATAGAAGCCAGCTTGTTCTCGTCACTACAAATCTACCATCTACTTCACCCATATCCTATATCTTCCTTCCCAGGGAACTAAAACATTAAGAAGTCAGTACCATCACTAATACACCATTCTCACCATCCGCACTCTCCCACACACATAAAAACATCCCGCCTCTCGGCGACCCCATCCCGCGAGCAGGGGCACACCGGACCCGAATCCGTCTTCACGATGGATACGTGGTACCCCCATACGTCTATGTTATGCGACACGACGACCCCACTCGTCTCGTACAACCACCCCAAATCCGAAAGCGAAAACGACGTAGTACACACTTGACCGTGCCTGAAACCGCGGATTGAAATGAACAACCGACCAAGCCCTTGGAAAATTGATCACTTGATTATAGTGAGTAATGAAAGGCCACCGTCGTTGAGCATTCGCGGTCGCGATCGCGGTCGCATGGCATGGGATGTGAGACTGAGAACTTGAGAATGGTTATTCCGGCAGATGACACTGGTGGGAATCCGGGGGATCGCTCCGGCGGTGAAGGGGCGTCCGTGCTAGGTGGCGGGGTGTTGAGAGCATCACTCATCTAGTAGGTTGACTAAGGCATAGTACAGTCACAGCATGAGAGGGAACAGTACGAAGTAATGTGTGAGCAATGGCAGGTTATTTTGTCTTCCCATGCTACCCTAACTAATCAAGCCAAATGGCCGAACGCTTCTGCTAAGTGACTGCGTCCATGTTCCCAACGCCCATTGTATGAACCGGTACCTATTGTGTCACGAACGAGTCGATGCTTCAATCAATCTCAAGACTCGGTTCCTCAACTTTTGTCCGTCCCAAACCCAACCGCTACCGAATATCCTCGCCTGGCCCGTCAATACCACGCAGCGTACTGGGGTAATTGAACAGGTCGGGGATCCGGTGTACACCATTGATATCATCCACCTGAAGCGGACAGAGACAATCTCGTGTCATCTGGTATCATCCCAATCCAATAAAGCAAGTATTCGATAGCCCGTATCCCTCTAGAACCCCTAATGTCGTGTGCTGGTGGTTCTGGTCCTCTACCGCAAAAAGACTCGACGAGAAAATAAAATGACAAGATAATTCGAAGCGCAATGACAGCCGCTGTTGAAGGTCAAGAGTGAAGTTGCGAGCGAATTATGCATTAAAGGAACTCCTTGTATGCAGATCGTTCCTGAGTACCCATCCGAAAAGGAAACTCGTACCCTCGACGCTGCGTTGAGCTCATCAAGAATGGGCAACGAATGAAAGACCAAGAAAGCAAGGCTGTTTTGTTTGTTTTCCCAATGACCCCCGAAATACCCTTCGTATATGCTCGGGAAGTCGTGTAGTCGAATCGAGGGTCATGGATTGTGAATGACTCTTTGAACGCCTCCCCGCGATGCCATGGCCGTCCCTGGCCCTTTGGCGTCGAATGCCATTAAACGCCAGTGTCCGAAAGATGAGCTGAATATTTTTTCGTCCAAAAACACAATCGAGAAAAGTCAAATGATGAGACCGCGAAGGCGAACGCGATTACATGGTGGAGCGAGCGATGCCGTTAACCCCTAATTGCTGTTGCCGCATGAGTCTCGGTATTGAATGGAAAGCGCTCCTGCAGTTGCTGGGCGTACGGAAATTCATTTGGCGACGTACCGGCGAAAGGGAAGCCACCCACCGAGGTCGAGGGGGAAGCGGACCTCATTGTTGCTGGGGTGGTAGCCTGACTCGGACGTTGGTTGGCGGGTCTCTCGCTTTGCAGAGGTTGACTGAGTGGAGATGAGGCTGGTGATGCACCGTAGGATCCCAGGTGCTGAAAGTAGGGGTTGGAATCGCGGAGGTGGAAGGCGTGGTGTTGGGCGGGTCCGGCGTGTTGAGCTTGGTGGACCATGCTGGGGCTGCCGTTGGAGCTCGAGCTGGTGCTGTTGGATCCACGGGTCGCGAAAACATCGTCAGCTCCGTCAAACTTGCCGTTCCTCAATGTGCCATCCTTAATCTGCGGGCTGGACTGCTTGGAGCCGAACTGTTGATAGCCAAGGTCAGTACATGCTTTTTGGGCTGAGAGTGGGCGATCGGTGAGGGTCGATGATGAAAGGGTCGGACATGGATGATTGTTGGCCAGAAGTACGTACAAAGCAGTATTTGTTGACCAATTCCTCGTATGATGACGAGGCAAGGGAAGGGTTGGGGGAGTCGGTGCCAGGGACAGTGGGCTGCTTGACAACCGGCTTGGAGACAGGGGGAGCGGTCACAGTCGGGGCCGGCTTCGCCTGCTGGGGCTGTTGCGCGGGAACGTGAATCTTGCGGTGGCTCTTCATATAGAGACCATCCTGATTGCGGTCCTTGCCAATGGTGTCCTTTGCAGCCTGGACAGCAGCAGTGAGGGAGGCACCAAAGTCGTACCGGTTGGAGAAGGCTTGTCCACTGGGGGCAGTCAGCCGGCTCGAGAGGTTATCGCTAGCCAGGTTGCCGGTAGACTTGTTAATCTTGAGGCGAAGTCCCGCGGTCGGGCCTGACTCGCCCAAGTATTCGTGAATGGGCTGGTCAAAGTTCAGCTTGGACTGGTTGCCGAAATCGTCGAAGCCGACAGGCATGGATTTGGGCCGAGGCGCCGAAGAAGGGCTCGAGCGGCGGTTGCTACGGGGGAGCGCCGGGCGGCCAGCGGCGCCCTGCAGGCCTCGCTTGCCGTTCTGGGGCAGATGCTTCTTGCGGAAATCGACCTGGAAGTTGGTGCCGTTGTTGTTGTCCCAATACTCCTGACCATTGACGTTGTACTTGATGCAGAAGAATAGCGTCTTCGTCTCGAGGTTAGCCAGGTCGGAGAGCTTGATGCTGAACGTGAATCGGTCCTGAGCGACGTGGTCGTCCTGAGCCCGAACCTCATGTGAGTATTCGGCACCAACCTCCGAGGTCGTCTTCCAGTAGTCCAAAGTGAATCTGCACGTAACGTATTTCTGGAATGCCAGGTTGGCAACTGCGACGGAGCCCAGCAAGTTCTTTTGGTCGGGTGACAACCAGACTCTCTCGAGGCGGACAGGCAGGGACTTGCGGATGGGAGTGTCAGCGGGGTGGTTTGCCGTGACGATCTCCCACTCAAATGGTGGAGTGCGGGCATTCTGGCGTTCTTCCCCAGGGAAGGGGTACTCCGTATCACTGTCGTAGGCATCGACCGGCGAGGACCCAGCACTGACAGCGAGTGGTCGATCAACCTGGAGGAAATGACGAACATGTTCGAGGTGTGAGTCGAAGTGAACGGCCTTGGAGAATGTCGGGGTGCCAGGCATGCTGGATGGCCTCCTGCGAGCAGAGGCGGGCCTAAGTGCTGGTCTGACGAGCTCTCCAGACTTCTTTCGTACCATTGGCGGCTTGTTCTCGAAGTTGTTACCGTCTGAATCGGACTCTGAACCGGTGATGGAAGCCGACTCCATTACTATTCTGGGCTCGGTGCTAGACCTCACATGGTTGACGCGACGGGCGACCGTCTTGGCGAGGGCGTCCAGGGAGCTGGTACTAAAGCTGGTGGGCAGACCCTCCTTGGGGAGGTCTTCCTTGGTGATGAGAGATAACGCGGGTTGGTCGAGCTTGGAGCTGGTCGGCGAGGCTTCCCTCTTAACGGGTATTTGGCTGATGATGTCCTGAAGCTCCTTAAGATTCTCAATCTGCCTTCCACGCTCTGCAACGTCCTCCTCTTCGCTTCCCGAGTCGGGTGGTGAAATGATGGCGCCCTTGGGCATGCCTCGCTCGTCTGTCAGTGGCGGCGGTGATTGCCTCACACTGCTGCTGTTTGTGGCCATGCCCTTCAAATCGTCCGACGTCCCTGGTGGTGTAGGTTGGTCTGAGTTGCCATTTGCCGTGGGAGCACCTGCTGCCGCCGCCGGCGTTCTCCTTTGCTTGGTGAGGTATGATGCTGACCTTGGTAGTGACGGTCTTGGGCTGGACTGGAACGAGGAACGTCTGCTCACATCGGGCGACGACGGCGCTGAGCTTGCTGGCGATCGGTGGTGGGAGGGTGGTGTGTAAGGCATTCCCGCGGTTGAATACGGAGAATGTGCTGTATAAAGGTGTGTGTGGTGAGGAAATTGGTATCGTGCGCCCGGCACGGCGTAGGTGTGGCGGCCCGAGGGTAGTGGCGGAAAAGCAAATAGGTATCAATTCAGCGAAGAATTAAGATGGGAGGCGGAGCGGCCGAGGAGAAGCGACGAGACGCTGGTGGGAAATTAGGATTTCTGTGTTATTGGAAGGTTCCCGTCAGCTCTGTCGTGGCCATGGGAGGCTTTAGGATTATTTAGTCGGGTAAGAAAATTGGTTGTGGTGCATCTATTTCGATGACTGAACTGGTGAAGAATAAGGGAATAGATCGAGGTAGAGAGAGTGGGAAAATTCAAGGAAAGAAAAAGAAGCTAATGGCTGTAGCGTTGGTGGCTGTGGAAAACGCAATTCCCACGATAAGAATCAAGAACAGGTCGAAGGAAAGAAGCAAGGCTGAGAAAAGTGGTAGGGCTGTGAAAAAAAAAAGAAAAAAAGGAAAGAGGTAATGATGACGAAGGTGGTGATGTATTTTTTTGTTGTTTTTACAGGTGTATTACGGGTTTGTGTAGAAGTCGTAGTTGACCACTTACATGGAGGGAGAGAAAGGTCGAGTCAAGGAAGGCGGGCGACTGTCGAGTTTTCTGCTCTGGCAATGTTCCAGCAACAGGGCAAGAAACTCCCGTCTGGTGTTTGGTGACGAGGAATGTCGGTAGCTGGGGAGGAGGGTCCCGTGGAGATGTCGTCGAAGCAGGTGGAATGCAATGACGAGCTGGGGAAGGACGGGGACTCGAGTGTCTCGAAAGGAAGAAGGGGCCGATGGGATGCTCAGGCGAGGCGATGAGACGTCCGTACACAGTGGCTTGCGACGTTCGTGGGGATCGTATGGTCGGTCAGGTTCTGGGTCGAGCTTGACTGATCAAAAAGAGGTAGAGGGTTTAGGAGACCAGCCGAATAGGTGCAAAACTATGGGGGTCAATCCTTTCCTTCCGTGCCTTGGGTCGTGAGAGAGTTATGCCGCTGACTCTCTTTTTTCGGTTCTGGTGTCTCGTTCTTGGACACGGTGATTGGGTCTGTCCGTGTTGGAATTCTGTTCCTGCTCTTGCTTCGGGATGCAAGTGTCGTGTGTCAGGAAAGAAGCAACAAGAGCAACTGGAAGTTGACTATCTCTTGAGACGACTTTTTTGTGCTGTGGATGTTGAAGATGTTGGCCTTTGGTGTTTGGAGCACACAAAGATTGGAGAGAGAACAAGCTGGTGGGCGGCTCCGGAGGGAACGGAGTGGTTTTGAATGGCGAGCGAGTTCCGAGCACCGCAGTCCGCGCCCAGTACAAAGTACCTCAGCAGAGCGTGGGAGACTGGGGGGGGGGGCCGGTAGCCAAGTGTGTGTGGTGTGGTGTGTGGTGAGTGCCAGTAGTGGTTGTGTGCGACACCACCGCCGCTCCCAGCAAGAAGAGACAGGGAACGAAGAGGAAAAAGCTACCGGTACCAGGCACCTCTCAGTTCGGGTTGGTCTGGTCTGGCTGGTCTGGTCTGGTTTGGTTTGGTCCCAGCACACCCACGGTGCCGTGCCACGCCCCCAGCAAAAAGAGACGAGCGAAAAGACTAGGACTAGGACCAGGGTCAGCGGTGGGCAGCAGAACAGAGCGGCGACAGAAAAGCGAGAGCAGCAGAGCAGAAGGTGAGAAATGCATGCGATGTGTGACAGACGGCAGCCAGCAAAAGCAGCCACTTTCCCACCTCTCACTGCACACAGATATCCGTACTCCGTGCCTTCTGGTTGCTTGGTGGGTGGTAGTATACACGCCCTCTGTTCCCAGGCGGCGGGAGTCGCAGTAGCACGTACCTGATGGTCAGGAGCATCCCTGCAAGTGCGACTGACGGCGAAAAAGCCCAGAAAGACCAGGGTGGCCATTGGGGGGTGGTCCTTGGTATGGGCGTGGACGTGTTCGGTCAAGCAGTCAAGCAGGCGAGGCCGGGGGGAGCACCGGGGGTGGTGGTGGTGGTGGTGGTGGTGGTGGTGGTGGTGGTGAGGATGTTGAGTGTGGGAGAGCGACGGAGAGAAGACGAAGATGAAGAAGGTGAGGAACATGGCGCACGGCTGCTGCACCTCACGGCTGCTGCGAGGATGAGCAGCAGCAACACTTTGTGGGGACATCAAAGAGTACGTACTCCCTACCTTGTTCATGGCACTGGGGGAAGGAGGGGGGAGAGAAAAAGGTTGGGGTGTGGCTGGAGCAAGATTCGACGCTAAGGAACGCGGCGGCGACGGGGTGTGGGGCCCGCCAGACCAGACCGAGAAAGGAAGAGCAGGAAAAAAAAGAATTGGGAAAGAGCGACCATCCAGCAAAAAACTAAACAAGACGAGGCGACACTGCGTGGGATGGTGGCACGGAGACGGCAAGCCGGCTGGGCTTGGGCTCGACAATTGCTGCTTGCGTTGAGGACTGACCTTACAGAGAGAGTACTGAACATCTCACTTAGGTACGGATACCATTTTACGTGTCTGCTATGGCATGGCACGCAACCTGGCTTGGAATTGCCTGATTGTAATCGTCAACCCATCCATCCATCCATCCATCCATAGCTACCCAGAAGATGCACTCGGGCACTCGAGGTTCTCCAAGAGTCCAAAGTACCGTCTGCAGAACATGCTCGAGACAGCAAGGTATCCATCCTATCCTGCCCGGAGCTTGCTGACGATCCAGGGCAACTAAATCCTGCATGTCCATCACCGCCGCCAACACCATTTGCTGCTTATCCCGTTGTTGGTCGTCCGCCATGGAGGAAAGTGGAGGGGGCCGACCTGCACGACACGACAAGTGTGCTCTGCTGCAAGCTACCTGACACTGACGGTCTTGAGCTTTACCAGCAAAGGTGGGGAATTCCATCTTGGCCATGGAGAAGTGAGAGCCTGAAAGGACAGAGAGAATGGGATGGCGTCGGCGTTTGCTCTTGGTGTTGCAAGAATGGTAGAATAGCGCCAAAGGAAGACAGACCGAGTATCTGTATCTGTACGTTGTAGGTACGGATACTCTGTAATTATCTGTAGGCGCTGGCAAGCCTGGCTGTTCCAGTCACACCCTCCCCTCTCTCTGTTACCTACCTACTATAAGGTACCTTAGGTTTGACGACTTCTCAGCCTCTCGTTCGCCTCCCGGGAGCCCCTTCTGCCACAATTCGACCAAGTACTGTAGATTGGCAACTGGCCCAAAACTTGGAGAAGCTGGAGGCGGAGACGACGGCGGCGGCGGCGGGCTGGCTTGGGAGGCTTGAAGATGCGGGTGGTTGACTTCAGGCCTGGTCTTGCAAGTTGCCCGGGCTTGGTTCGCATTGCATCTGGATCATGCCTTTCCTACCAGTAGGTATGTAATTAGTTCCTTGGACGGATGAAGAAACATGTGTGAGATGGATGCATGGGTGTTTGGCCACTGGGCAGAATCTCTTCTAGATGAGCACGGCAGCTTTTGCTTCCTTTGGACAGACGGCAGATGTCAATTGGAAGGTGGGATGAGAGACAAGACAATTCTCGCTCTCTGAATGTCTGTTCCATCTTTCCCCTCCTACCTTTCTTTCTTTCCCGCAATGATCGATGGCTGCTACCGGCCGGTACCGTTGAGGCCGTCCCCCCTCCAGTATCGAGGGTTTCTGAGTGCGGGAGGAAGGACGTTGAGGTTTCCGGTAGAGTCAGATCAGATCAGCGATGACCGGGCCCTGGCCATCCACCCACTCCAACCCCCCCCCCTGCCTGTCATATCCATAATCTCCATGCCTGGCACTCCGTACAGATTCGCCTGGACAGATATGCGATTGCTGAGCCAATCCATGTCGCGACGACGCGCAGTGCGAGGTGCCGAGAGCGGACAAAGGTTGAAACATGAAGTCGCTGGAGGAGAGCAGGGACAGGCGGCGAAAGGTGAGGAAGCCAAGGTTACGTCCGGGGAGAGACTCGTAAGGCAAGGTAGGCTGTAGCAGGGGCGAGACGGGAGGAGTAAGCAGTCCGGTCTGATTATGCTGCCGCTTTGGTTCTTGGTTCTTGGTTTGCGATTGTGGTGGTGGTACACGTCTTCTCGGTCAAGAACTCTAGACTGATCAGTGATGGGGAGCAAATGACAGCAGCAGAGCAGTTGCGCCACAGCAACCACACACACACACACAGTACAGGAAAGAGCATACCGGGGTGACTAATGGACAGTACAAAGTAGGTAGAGCGAGCATCTTTGATAGGACAGGACGGCTTGAGGGTGGGTCTTCCATTTTCTCTCCTTCGCAGGAAATAAAAAAAAAGGAGCGGAAAACTTCAAGATGCGCTAGCAGGGATGAGAAGAAAAACGTACCGACTGGGTCAAAGGTGAAAGAAAGAGACCGGGGGCAGAAACAGGGACAGGGTTCCTAGTCAATTTAGCGTTCGTGCTGATGTAAAATAATGGTCCCATCATTCTCTCATCAAAGAGCATGACAACCCGCAGCAGCAGCTCTTACTCAAGAGACTCAAGACTCGATAGCTTCGAAAGTGGTGGCCGTTGGTACCGGTACTCCATAGCTAAGGTAGAATCGGGGTTGGAGCCTGTCTGTACGACACCACTGCTGCAGAATGGCCTGAGGTTTCGGTTCCCTCTCAATCAGTAGATGCCATAAGTTACGGATGGAGTCGAAGAAGTCGGGGAGCAATGCAACGTTGAGAGTTGTCGGACTGGCATCGGACTGCTCATGCCGCAATCGTGCCCATAGAAACTATTGGCCTATCCTATGCGTATCCGTAGTTATTACTGATTGCCTGTCGAGAGTATACATCTTGGCGCCATGTGCGGAAATCGGGAGTATCAGGTCTGTTCTTGTCTTGCTCCAATATCGACCGACAAAATGGTAAGAGTTGGGACGATGAGAGTGTCTAAACTTGGCATCCCACCGCATAGCAGAGCATCGCGACGCATCCAGTCGGCTCAATTTCGCAGGTGTTTGGAGGACTGAGGCAGTTGACGATCAAAGTGTTTGCGGCTCCAGCCGGACATTTGTCTCGAGAGTTGTTGGCCCGGCACTATCCCATACCTGCCTCCTTGAAGTTGTATTAGCCTTTTCCTCAACAGTCTGTATCCGTAGCACCGTGTCTCGTGCTTGGTGATGCTTTCACCTCTGCTTGCTCTAGCTGATTTTGCCCCAGACCATCGAGCCGCCGTTTGGCCTTGAGCGTTCTCAATTAGCTTCGCCATGTCTCGAATCTCGTTTGCATCAATGGCCGCCATGCCGCGGCATACCTCATCCCGTACGGGAGACGCTGTTGGCAGGGTGGACGGTATGAGTGGAAGCTGTTTCCATCGTCATCGAGCCGGGGACGGAGATTATGGCGCCCTCTTGTCTCTCACTGCGAAGTCTTAGGTGCGTGACTTCCCTCCTCTCCCGGCTCTCGCTTGCCTTCGGCACTGTACACTTGACACGGCCCCGCGTTACTTTCAACACAGGGCAGAGGGCAGCAGCGACCAGCCCCAGTCGGCTCAGCCCAGGCCAAGCGGCCCAGGCCCATGCCGCAAAGAAAGAAGCGAAGACGCAGGCACAGACCGACGCAGCCAGGCCGCAGGCGAGCAATGGCAGGCACGGCAGGCACTGAGGCAGGCAAGGAAGGCATGGGTTCGCGTTTTGGAAGCAACGGCCCTGCCCTACCTGCCTCTGCCTGCCATTACCCTGTCCCTTCCTTCCATCTTGTCTGCCCGGAGCCGGAACTGAAATTTTTGCCCGCGCGCAGACCTTGCCGTCGGTACGACTTAACCTGCGCGCACTGCTTGCGACACCCAGGACAGGCGATAGAAGGGACAGGGTAGTCTCGTAATAGACGAAACAAGCCCCAACCCTTCCTCCAGTACCTGACCTAGGTATTATCCCCTAGCTCAAGGAAGGAAGCTTCCATTGTCATTTCACGATGCTCGTTTGGAACACACACGGATGGGGAACCCAACTCTCAAGCGCAAAAGATCCGGTGAAAAAAGTTCGCAAAAGTTTGGGTCGTAGGAAAGCATGATGTCATTGTTGGTTGAAATTGTCATTGGCGGCAGGTACACCTACCATCGTCGTCGCGTCGTCCGCCCGCTCTTTCTCGCTTGACTGGGCAGTTAGCTTGCTTCCCTTGCCTCTTTTGGGTGCGTGCCTGCCTCGCAGCTAAAGGCGAAGACGCAAAGCATCGTGAGGTTTTAAGTGGGGGAGAGGAGCTTTCCATAGAGGTACTCCTCATCGAAACAACACTTCACTCCCACTCCCTCTCCCACTCACGATCCAGCCACACCACGACGTGTGGCCCACGACGGGTGCACGATTTCTCGGGTCGCTAGCACTCCCTTTCTATCCGATTCGGCCCACGATCCGTTTCTGCGGATAGCCAAAGCCGCACATTACATCACCTTCAAACGTTTGACCTTATCTCGACCACTTCGTCTTATCACAGACGTTTGACCGATATCTTCCAGGTTCCTTATGGAGTTCGTTATCAGGAATCTCGAAACCACTACGCTGCCTGCCTGGATGTCTTCTGTACTGAAGGTGTCATTCTGACTCTTGTCGGGCGAGGTGCGTCTCGGTCGCGTCTCACTGTCAGCATGCTTTCCTTTTCGCCCTCTGCTTTGTCTCTCTAATTTCACCACCGGCCTGGTTCACAATGCCATCGACTGTCGCCGTTGTTGAAGGATGGACGTGGTCACGACTCGAGTAATCATTCGATATCGGCCCCAGCCCTGCTCAGCTTGAACTTTATCAATGATTGGGGCCACCCACCTGGGGATTCTGGGAATACTTGACCCGCCGTTGACACGCAGCAAAGACGAAAAAAGAAGGAAAAAAAGGCTCCAGTATCTGCCCCCCGCGGCCCCGTTCTGATGATCTGATCGGCCGGCGCCCGTCCGCAGACAATAACGGAGCGAAATAAGGCCATGCCCCCGGGTCCTCGCCTGAAAGCAACGGCGACACGAAGCAGAACCAATGGTGGAACCATCACTCGAGACACTGGACGAAGATGGGGGATGGGAACATGGATGTGAAAGACAAGGAAGGGAGAAGCAAAAAAAGACTGGCACAGTGGTGAAGGGGGGGAAAGCGATACCAGTTCGGTCCACATTCCAACCTTTTCCCACATTCCATCCACCATTTCTCCAAAGTTGTTGTCCCCGCAAGTTTGCTCTGGAACTATTCTCAACAAGGCCGGATCCATGACAAACATCAAACACTCCTGCGAAAAGCTTCGTTTCCTTTGGCTATGCTATTGCTTTGGGGGCCAATCTCCCATTATTGGAATGCAGTTAGAATGCAGTTGGAAGCAGAAGCAGGCCAGGGACGAGACATGCAGAAGGGCCAGAGTCAGTGTCGGATAATACCTATTGCACCCTCTTTTTCTTTGGGTGCGGGTTTATTCTTGATGGCACGCTTGTGTTTTGTTTGCGCTGTGTCTTGAGAAGCGCTAAGACGACGCTGACCCGCTCTGTCGCTGATGACTGATGAATCCAGGGAATTGTGTGTCAGAAGCGGTACGAGTACTCACTAGTGTGTAGTCAGTCACTCTGTCAGCCACAGGTTGCAGCTGGGCTAGGGCTGGCGATAGCAACGACACCGATGCCGGCATCAGGTTATATCGATGGTGGCCGTTGGCACGAGCTACCCTACCGGCGCCTGGTATGGAAGGCATGAACAGTGTTGATGCTGACGGTAGTAGTGCAACTACGAGAGCTTGACTACCTATACCGAGTCCCGTATGCGGAGCGGCTGCCTGCATTGAGAACCAATTGTTGCATCAGCCTCTGACTAGAGACATTGGCTCCCACGCTCCCTACTGGCGGCAACGGCGTGAAGAACTTTTTGTCGTCAAAATGTCTCATTTCGGCCAAGAAACGGCCGGGCGAGGGTTGAGATCTAGACCAGCATGCTACCTGTGAATGAGTCGCCCAAGTCGACACAGAAATGGCGCAGACGCATTGTGGCACTCTATCGCGCTGCCATTGGCGATGGTTGCATTGGCGATGGCGATAGCAATGCATTTTACTTGTGTTACTGTTACCGCTCTCTTGGACACGACTCTTACTTCACTTACACTGCTGGGGTGCTCTTGTGCATCGGCGATGAGCGGAGCATTGGGAGGCAAATGCTTCTCACAAAATGTCTCGCCAATTGCAACGACTGATGCTCCTTGCAAAGTGCGTTTCGATTGGGGTAAGAGCAGGCACCGCTACGGGCATTTGGCGGCTCAAGTATTGCCCCAGAAAGAACAGACGAAGCGCGAAAGCGACAGCAACAACGCAACACGCACGCAATCACGCACGGAGCGTATTCTCGGAGTGGCCCGAGCTGTCGGCAACAACTATCACTGGATGCGCAGACGCTTCATTGCAGGATTGTTTGTTGTTAACCTGAGTCCGACACTTTTGCTATTCGCGGCGTGGGTTAGTTTCCCACGTTGACGGAGCATTTGCATTGAGGTTTTTTTGCTTCCTTTCTTCTTTCTTTTCAACTTCTCCTTAATCCACCTGAATCCGTATTCATCATTTGGAAAGTGGGGACCGGAAACCGGGGGCAGGCCGCAGACCATTGGGATGGGATTTTGGCCTGGAACTCACTCTTGCCCTCGCGAGTCGCCGCAGCACCGCACCTCCCGCATCCACCGCACCCGTATTTTGGGAAAGGACGGAGACGACGGAGAAGGAACAAGTGGGATGGAGTATGGAGTACGTACCCTCCTTAGACGCGGAGACGACGACTGGATGGGGGATGATTCAGCAGGAAGGAGATGGAGTCGTCCTTCACCATTTTTACCGAAAGGGAGGGAAGGAAGCATGACTGACCAACCAGCAGGCGGTATCGTGGGAAGGACCCAAGGCTGTCATCGCAAAAAGAGAAAAGGAAGGAGGGACAGCTGTGTACCTAGGTAAAGAAAGAGCAGGGGTGAGTGCCCCCACCTGATGGACTCAGTCTAGCCACCCCCCACCAAAAAAAGAAACTCACCAAAGAAAGGAAAGAAACACTTTGAGCCTTGAGGTTTTTTCCCCCACCAAAAAAAAAAAGTCAGAGTGAAGTCAATTCCCGCTGCAACATCACATCGCCCGCACCGACCGCACTCCACCACCCACATCCACATTATGTCCACAACCACAAACCATCGCTCATTCACGGACCTCACCGGCACGGACTCTCTTTTTTTTTCTCTCTCTCTGGCGCGCGGAGATGCCGCTTACTGCTCCTATGCTTATCCATATCCATTACCATCGGCACCGTGTCACCTCTACATACCAGCCAATACCGTAGCACCGGCTGCTTGCTGCTACACCAAAGTCTACTACCGTTGATACAGTCCAAGTGGGACTGTTCCGGACAGGGAATGCCTTCAAACAACGCCCAGCAAAGCAACAAGCATGCAGAAGAAACGCAACAAGGCGTTGGCGCACTAGAACCAGCTGTCTTTGGCATCTGTGGAAACCATCACAGAATCGAACGAACGCTACACGCACCCATCTTCCAGTCATCGCATCACCACATTCCATCATGTGTAGTACTATAGCAATTCCGCCCGTCGAGATATTCCTCCATTCAACTTTCAAACGCCTTCACCCTCACGCCGCATCATTTCGACTTAACCAGCAAGATCAGGTCCACATCCAACCATGACTGGCATTTTCTCCGTACAAACGTTCTCTTTTCTTCTCGTCCATTCAGTGGTATGCTGCAGCAAACGTTGGGCCTCTTAGAGTTGCAGCTTAAGAGCTCTGCCATACCACTGCAAGGTCGTTCCGCCACACTCTAATATACTGCCGTCGTCATCCCAAGAGTCGTCTTCGCTCAGGGCGGCTTCCAAGCTTGAACCGACCCTGAGGAGTCTGCGGTCCAGCCCGCCCGCCACTACGAATCCCCAGCACTGCTTTTCTGGTTGATGTGCCACCCTCTGGATCCGAACACCGGCACCGGGGCCACTGGACGGGCATCCTCCCTCACCACCTTCGTCTTCACCGGATCAATCTGAGGTCTCGGTCAGTAGTAAGAAGGACAACCTCCACACGATATTGCCGCATTTTCGGATGCCGGATGTGCATCCAATTTAACCGCTGTACCGCTTCGGGCAGGGACCTATCGAAATACACAGTCTCCCGCGCTGTGGAACACTCCGTGTCTTTCGTCTTGACTTTTGTCCTGTCCAACAAGCGATAACCCCCACTACGAGTACAACAAGAAATCAACACTCGCTCTTGTCGTCGCCTTTGGACTCTGGATTGCCAGGCAGCCTCACGTCTCCCTCAGCCGATGGCTTGCGCGCAAATGCAGCCCTTTCTCAGATCATCCAGTTGTACGGAGTACGGATCTCCACTGGCCCATGTTCCCCATTCCCACTCACATACCTAAAGTACCTACATCCAGCATCCACTTCTATGCTCACCTCCGGCATGGAGAACGGAGTCGGGGCAGCGACTGCGAGCACTCACAGCATGCACTCGGCGGTATGCAGCAAGGCATGGCTCCGGCCAATGTGACGAGCGGGAGCCGCAGGGGCTGAGGGCCAGTCATTGAACTGCATGGCCTCGCTTGAGGCGTAGAAGCCCACGTACGCCACCGCCGTAGGTCCAGCCAAGCCCCTTCACTTGCTTGAGCTTCTCGCAGAGCCACTTCTGTCACAATCGTTTGGAAGGCAGAGAAGCATCCATCGTCAATCAACTTTCGGCCTTTCGGGGACTTCTTCGCCCAGGCCCAGGGTGTACGACATGGGTATCGAACGATGCGAATCCTCACTGACCCCTTTTCAAATTCGTGCAGAACGCCCATCGACATCTGAATGCGCCATGGCACGCATGGCAGGATCTCTCTGGTGGGGAATCGCTTCACCAAGAGCTCCATCCGGCTGCGCTTCAGCTTTCATCGCATCACTCAAAATGACAATCCACCTCGCTCTCAAATCTCGCCTCTTATGGATATCAGCAAATGTGTCAAACTATTACTCACAGCTTGCATTCTGGGGAAACATGCGCGAGGTGCCCTTGGTCCTTTGCCCCTCATTTTCCTCTTATCACCTTCTCAAGCGCAGTGTCCACTGTTTGGCATGGTACGTCGATTATCAATCGTATGCATTCACTCGACTGATGCCATCGCCCAACGCTCACCTTTCCCAAACTTGGCCCCTCGACGGTCAATGAATGCCGGATCATCCCGGACGATATCACCCAACACCAACAAGCACACAGCACAAAGCTAAGAGCGGCCGGCGACTCAAGGGGCTGCATCTCGCAGCCAAGCGCCTTGTTAGCGCCTCTGCTCTATACACCGTGGTGAAAATTCGCGGTTGCTTGCTTGCTTGTCTTGTGTGCCATCACCCAGGCACGCCTTGCGCCTCTGGGCTAACGACACCTCCCGGGCACGTCTCACCGCGTCTTGTTATCTTTGAAGTCGCAATCCGAGATGCCCAAAACGTACATCGTTTGCCCCTGATTCGCTAAGCAGTCAAGGTGCCCCCTGCCACGCTCACCTAGTCGCCCATCAAAAGATGCTCATTTTGCCCCTGCTCATGGCATCTCAACAAGGATCTCATCATGGCCCGCCCGTCACTGAAGCAGCAATCCTCGAACAAAGCACGCAAGCCATTGTGCAAGCCACACCTATCGGGAGCCGGATGGCGGGGCACACTTACATCCTACGCAGTAGGCCGGCCTCCATCTCAGCATCCGCCATCTCAGCATCCGTACACGGGGATCGGCGTTTCGGTGGCCGTCTGTCAATCAACCGGCCGGATACCTGGACGGCCCGTAGGTGACGGCGCAAGGTAGAGTGTGGCATCCCTCTTATTATCGCTCGATCCTCAGAACTGCCTCACTCGAATTACCTCGCTACGGAAATCGTTCGGTCTGACGTAGAGCTTGCGCGATGCACGATACCTCCTCAGCCAATTACGGTAACGAAACCAACGAGATCCTGCGGGGTGACGAAAGGGATTGCGTCAAATACAATGGAGATGTTGAATGATAGCCCCAGCTCACCCATCTGTCACATCAACTGATCTGATGTTGACTGCGAAGAGACTGATGTACATCCTGCGCCCTTGGCTTCTGATAAGGGTCCCTTGGTCCTGGTTGCGAGTGCAGACCCGAGACGAAGCCCGAGTCAAAAACCTCATCCCGAGGATCAGGCAATGATCTGAGGGCACTCATTCCATATCACAGTGGCGTCTCTGTCATTTTTGGAGATGGCGGATGGCGCATTCCCACCGCACGCAGTCTAGCTACCCACTCCGCAACAGGTCCCCTAATCCAACGGGACCCTACCACCTACCGACCTTCATGTGCAGAGGACCCTGAAGTCTACCTAGCTGCAGTGGCCGGCCACCTTCTGGGCGAAGATCGACGCAGAAACGGAGTCAACGGCTTTGGATACGAACTGTTTCCAGTTACCCTACCGCAGTGCGGATAACTCGCGTGCTCGCTTGAGCTTTGCGACCGCGGCAAAGTCATCCCCATGATCGCCGACATTATGGACCACATACAAGACTGACACCATTGACCCACGTTTGATAACAACGAACCGATCATGATCCATCTGATTGTATCGAGATGCGAAGCTGCAACATTGCAGTAGGAGAACGCAATCTGGCCTTGAACCCTGTCTTTGCACATGCTTGATGCGCATTCCAGGGAATTGCCGGCTGTGAGCGGTGGTCTGATGGTTTACCAGGATCATCATATCATCCAATGTTGATTTCTTACAGCTTTGGAGCACCGGGGATTTTTTGCCTGACACCTAGTGGGCCTGGTCCCTCTCAGCTTCATGCTCCGGTCCTGGCAAGGCTCCTGATTCGTCACTTTGTTTCGTTGGGGACGGCTCGATGGCCTCAAATGGAAATTACCAAAGCTCGGCATCAATGTGCAGAACTGACGAGGAACGATGGTCAAAATCTGCTGCGTATTACGAATTCTTTGTTACCAAGCGGCGGCCGTCCAAGGTGGCGTTTTCTTCCCCAGACAACAAACTGTTCCTGGTGTTCCCAGGCACCGCCCGCCCGTAAAGTTCCAGGGGTTCAGGGAGGGAGTGCGACTTCAGACACTTCCATGTCGCCAACCTGACTCTTGTGACCAAGTCACTCACGCCCGAGGCATTGTAGTCCAGCTTGCGGTATTGTCAGACCATCAATCTGAATTACGAGCCGATACACCCCCGAAGATCGAGAAGAAAGAAGAAGAAGGCATAGGCGGAGATCTTACCTCAGCCTTGGGAACATGTGATTGTCAGATCTCGCTCTACGATCGACGCTGAAGACCGGAGACGGAAGATCATCTGGTGATGAATGACGGTCTTCAGCATCAGTGAGCGCCAACTATGCTCGACGCCCCGAGTGGTTGGTGAGCCGGATGCGGGACGAGGTGAGGGTTGGGATGAGCCCCAGACAGCGCGAACACAGTGCAAACGTCTAGATGTGGCGACCGTGCCTTTCGAACGACAGAGACACTGTTTTCGTATCTGCCACTTCGCTGCGCCTCACTGAACTGCGAGGAACGAATGCTCGCAGGCGATAAGCAAAGACACGGCCGCACCCCACCAATGCACGCCCAACAGTCCTCTTGGGAGAGACGCCTAGTCGAAGCCATCATCCGGGGCTTCTTCAACCTCTTGAGTCAGCTCTGTGTCGCATCGAAGAGACGAGAGCATCGATCGAAAATCAAGGGGCGGTGAGGCTGGCAAACAGCCAGCAAACATCATCTTTGGCCAAGCATCCCACGTCGCGAGCGAGTCGAGACTGGACTGAACCTCAATTAAAGTTTGTGTCTTCATCTCCACTCGGCGACGAGGTGTGGAGGAAGCCGGCGGAGCGCAGGAGTCGACGACGAGACCAGGGCTCGGCTTCCGAGTCGCTCCCGGCGCGCGTCAGCTTCCGGATCTTCCGTGCCATGCAACGTTCAGCCCATGGGAGTAGAGTACGGAACACACTGACAGGCATGGGGCATGCCCGGCAAGCGTCCCCGTAGCTTTGACCAATCGCAGCCACAACGCTGCATGTCTCATTACCAACAGCGTATATGATTGTATGGACTTGAGGTCTTTCATGCTGTCCATGTCCCTTTGGCGGGGGAGCAACTGGAATCGCCCGAATCTGGTTCACTGTCTATTTCTCTACAGCTGAACAGCCGCATCTACTTCACAGGACAGCTTTTGACCGCACTCGATACCTAGATCAAGTGGACGAGAAAGGTATGGAACCTAGCGATTACACGTCTTCTCTGCTAGCGAGAGAAAGGTCACGAAGGAGCCGCGGCCAAATCGGAAGACATCAGCCTGCTATTCAACAAAAATCCGCCTTATCCTCGCAATCTTGCTTGGATCCCCAAGCCATGTGTACCTCGAATCTCCATTGGCCAATCAGGCCGCCGCTCGACAGCATCCAATTCGGGGCTCGGCTCCCATTTGTTGTGTCGCAGGAGGAAGCGTCGAATGCGACCACACACAGCCAAGTGGTTCCTTGATTGTCTTCAAAGTCTCCGGGGGAGAAGGAATCATGCCAGAGCGGTGTGTTTCGCCTGGAAAACCTGCCTGGAATCATTCCTACCTACCTGTTCCCAGTAAATCTTGCAGCAATTATCTGGCTATAAGTCAGCCTGCGCTAGAACCCGGGTCTGATCCGACTGCCTAGGCACCCCGCAAGATCCGGGCCAGAGCTAGAATGAGACAACCCCAAAATCGTCAGACTTAATAGCTTTACAGAAATCCCACGTCCTAATTCGGATGGCACGGTTGTTTGTGGGGGTATTCCAAAGATCCTGCACGAAGGCTCACGGGATCACCTTCGACTGCACCGGCCTGGTACCGCGTCCGAGACGACTCGAATGACTTGTACAAGTCATGACGCAATTCGGAGCCAGCTGATACAAATGATGCCCGACTTTCCACTATCAACGACCACTGCGAGAAGCGATTCTGTGAGGGCGTGGGGGGAATCGTGATTGCAGACGTGTCGTCTCATTCCAAGGCTGCGATTCAAGACGTATTGCTGTCCGCTCTGTTCATCGTCAGGCACAGAATCCAGACTTGTCCAGTTTGGTATCCATACGCCCTCTTCCCGTGCCACGCAACGGCTGAAGGAGGCGCCAACCCGCGTGGGTCGCGAGTAGAGGTACCCCACGAGACTCCGGATGATGCCAGGTGACCGGGACGGATCGATAAAGCAGAGGTGGCATGCTACTCTCGACGTGAATCCGGTATTCTAGCTTCCAAGTGCAGCCTCCAGGTTTGAGATGCCGCTTTGAGCTCTTTGGCAAGCAACATGCAAAGGCTAAACCCTGATTTCTCCCCCGAGTTACGGTGCATATGCCTTGGAGACAACAGCTTCATCCTCTCTTCTCACCAGTGACCACGTCGTCGGCTCCAGGTGTCTCTGAAGAGGGTGCGGACTCGGCCAAGCAACCAAGTCACTTTAGTGTATCTTGTCGCGCAAGTCGAAATGCGTCGCGACCTCACAGATACGACAATGGAGGACCTAGGCGTTTCTCGACCGATGATGAGCCCCACTGATCTGCACGAGGTCTGCCAGAATGAGCCAGGATGCTGCCAACTTTCGCACGCGAGGGCTGCAGCAATGTGGCATCCATCAGATAGAAAAAAAAATACCCATGGCTGTGTGCTCTTTACAGGCATGGCATTGCTCCGATAAGACCTCTCAATGGCCCTCGCTTCAGCGGCCAGGGCCAGGAAGGGTCACCGATGAAGAAAGGATTCTGATGAGACTGGAGGAACGGGGGATATCCTCTCGTTCGAGAAGGCAACATGAAGACGAGAGCAAGTATCCAATTGGCAATTTTGGCCCCCATCTCCGGTGTCAGCCCCAGAACTTCATTCCATCCGTGCCGGTGAGACAAGAAGAGGATTGGCGTACGAAGTACGGATAGGTACACGTAAACGTCCCTGTTCCTAGGAAGCAGCTTCATGGGCAATGAGGGCGCACCATCTGTATTCTCGGAAGTCTTTGACAGCGGCATCATCATCATCGTCACCACCATTGTCATCTGACCACAAAGTTCCTTGGAAGAAACCCGGGAAATAGCGTGTCGACCGACTATGGGCTGTTGATGCTGGAGACTGCTCAAGCCCAGGAAACCCCTCCTCTCGACAATAGACTCAACAGTCTTCCCTTCTTCCGTGGTTTGCTCAGACAAGAACCGATGCCCGCAGGCCTCGGTACACGCCGCACGTAGAATTGTCAAGAGTGCGGAGAAGACAAAACCATAGCTGCGGTTGGTGGCTTTGAGGAGGATTTGCTCCGGAAACAGCCAACCGCAAGTCAGCACAGCAGCATGAGCAAGGCAATGGCGATGGGAAAGTCAGCATGGGCCCATGGTGCGATCTCAACGTACCATTGCACATTATCTCGGCTCGGTCGATACTCCGTACTGGATACATAGGACTGCGGCTGGCTTCATTTCATCTCATCCCATCACTCCTGAGTTACAGCTCCAACTTCCAAAAGAGCCATCAACCTTGCATCAAACATGGAAGATTGTGGGCATCAAACGGGTCGTATCCACCGAAGAAGCTCAGACTGTATTCCTCGAGTTCTTTCACGTCAACATCTGGCTGCCATATCCGGAGGTTCAGATCCTCAGTGGGGGGGAGGGGAGGGCACTGTGGCTCTCTCAACTTGGAGTCTTGACTCTTCTCCAATCTCCATGTCGACTCTCTCTCCTCGTCTGTCCCGTCCCCCGCAGGAGGACTGAATAGGGGCAGTGGACAGTGGGCACTGCGGCAGGGAGACACAAACATGGGCAAAAGAGGCAGGCCGTCGACATGCTCACTGCGTGTACTCCGTTTTCCAACGCACGAAATCTCTTCACTGCGTCTACTCGTACATGGGTCGCGCGTGCCTACGCTGCTACGGCATCCTGCAAAGGGCTAAATGACGTAGTGACCCGTTTCACGGCCCTCAGCCGTCATCGGGCATTAACGTGCACGATCGAGTCTTTCTCTCATGAACTAGGCGCCCGGGGCTCTTAGCGGTACGCAGGGCTTAAAGTGGTCAACAATAGCCCCATATGCCCCCTAACCAGTCCCCCCACAACGCCGGCCTCTTGCTCCAACCACGCTGCCAGCTCCGTGCTGTTGCCGCCTCAGGCGGGTGCTGGCGCCCTTGCTACAGGGGAAACCACGGAGACCCAGGAGACCAAAAGAAGACTACAGGGGCGCGAAGGGGCAGTAGGCATCTTTTCCGTGCGCTAGGAGCGTCCGCCAGAGCCCGCAGTTTCAGCAGGAACATCCACTTCTATCTGAGGCTTGTTAGCGAGCCGCGAGAGAGCCGGCAACTTGCGAGAGTTGTCGATAAGTCCACCATCAGATCCTACGGAAACCCTTCCGGTGCCTCGTTCAAAAGAGTGTTTTCTGTCTCTCGAAATAGAAGACGGAAGAGAATGACCGGCCACCGGTTACGGACG